CTGTATTTACAAAAAATAAATATATATGTATTTTATCAGTCAATATAGCATAGTACAAGCTCTTCTTAGTTTGACACTAGACTGCGTTGTGTGTTAGATGTCTGAAAATATTATTATTATCTACTCTCTAAGTTTTTAGATCGATTGGATCAGTTTGATTATAATAATCTTGAAGTCATAGCCATTAAAAACCGGTCAGGTACGAGTCAAACTCGTGCGCCGAGGGTTCCGTACCTACCCAGATTTTACGTAGATTTTCGCGGAAATTTGTAAGTACCAAAATTTATCTTAATTTTCAACATTTTTTATTTTTTGGAATTATTCCTTTATTTGTGCTGTAAGACGTTTCTTTTTCTCAGGACCTTGATTTTTATACACCTAATAGGGACCATAGACCTCAGTATCTGTTATAAGTTTCAACTTGGGTTTAAATAATTTTATTCTCATAAGAACTTACAGTTAGTTCACTCACAATGAGATACATAGTTATTAACTTATGACTAATACAATATTCATCTCTTAGCATATTGGATGCTACAATGTACATACATGTTTCTTAAGCCCGCTTTTAAATACATTTATAATATTACAATCCTTTAATTCTTTTGGCAGTCTATTATACAGCTGTGCCCCCTCATATAGTATTGTTTTTTTTCCGTAGTTAGTTCGTACTTTCGTTAGTTGTAATTTATTTATATTTCTTAAATTATGTGTGATTGGTTTTTTGTGTAATTGTATGTAAGTTTGAATAGAATTGTTAGTAATCTTTTTAATTAGAATGCAAGTATGACAGACATACAGTTGTCTGAGATTCAATAATTTAGTTTTTTCATATAGTAGTTTAGTTGGAGTTAGATAATGGTAATGGAAAAGCACTTTAATTATTTTGTTTTGTATTCTTTGCAGTGTATTCAAATTGGTTACAGCTGCTGATCCCCATATCTCAATTAGATATTCAAGATGTGACCTAATCAAAGAGTTATAAATAATAGTACGGGTTTTGGTTGGAATGCACTTTGATACTTTACGTAATACCCCCAGTATCGATATTAACTTTGTTCTTACGTGATCTATGTGTAGTTTCCAGGTAAGTTTGTCATCTGTACTTGCTTCGGCAGTACATATACTAAAATTGGAACGATACAGAGAAGATTAGCATGGCCCCTGCGCAAGGATGACACGCAAAATCGTGAAGCGTTCCACATTTTTGCTTTGCAGGCGCCGGAGGTCGCAGAACGACCTCCGTCCTCCATAAGCGCAGGCCTGGGGGTGACAGGTGAGGCCATCTGTCACCCTAGCAGAAGCAGGCCGGGGTGGCGGCGAGCGCGTTGCGAAGCGCGCTCGCTTCCAGGGAGCACAGGGAACATGGGGTTCCCACACGGGGCGGGGGTCGTCTACTCGTCTGTAGATGACCCGAGGTATGTCGGGGCACCAGGGCCTTCCTTTCTAGGGTATACCTGGTTCCCCGGCTATTAGTACCCGGCGAAGGCGTGCGGTTTTAGTCGGTTCGAGTCCGACATGCCACCGACAGGTGGTATCCGAGGGGATTTCCCTCGGATACCACCACCACGGAGGAGGGGGAAAAAAAAAAAAACAAAGGTAAGTTTGTCATCTACCCACAATCCAAGATATTTTTCGTGATTAGACCGTTTAATGATGCCATTATTTATTGTTAGTGGTGTAAAGTCTGGTATATGTTTATTTTTTGCCGCGAAAATCATAAATGATGTTTTTGATGTGTTTATCGTCAGAAGATTATATTTTAACCATTCGTTAAGAATATTGAGGTCATTTTGAGCGTCAGCGATGATATTGTATATAGATTTACCGAAATAAAATAGACATGTGTCGTCCGCATATAATGTTAGGTGTCCTGTTATGCCTATTTTATTAATATTGTTTATGTAAATTAAGAACAATAATGGGCTGATAATTGAGCCTTGAGGACAGCCATATGTTACTTTTTGAGTCGAACTAGTGAAGTTATCTAGTTTAACAACTTGTTGCCTATTGTCTAAATATGATTTAAACATACTGAGGGCTGTGCCTGTGATACCTATGTTGTCTAATTTCTGTAAAAGCTTTTGGTGGCTTACTGTGTCAAATGCCTTTTTAAGATCAATATAAATACCTAAAGCTAAGCTCCTTTGATCGATGTGAGTTTTAATTTTCGTAATTAAGTTTACTGTGGCCGTGAGAGTACTAGAATCTGAACGAAAGCCATACTGTTGGTCGATTAAAAACTTTTTTTGAGTTAAATAGTTACTTAAGCGTGTATATAAAACCCGTTCATATATCTTAGATATCACCGGCAACACCGACACCGGCCTGTAGTTACTTGGGTCAGTTCTACTTCCGGATTTGAATATAGGACTGACCCTAGCAACCTTGAGCGTATCGGGGAAGACACCGCGTGATAAACACATATTTATGCAGGTGGTTAATCTCTCAGCAATTATGTTTTTTAGGCACTTAATCACTTTGGTACTTATACCATCCAGGCCAGTGCTAGTGTTGCTGTCCAGATCATCAATAATTTTGGATATTTCACTTACATTACATGGTGAGAGTTCATATAGTGTCAGGTGATGAGTATAATATTTTGGTCATACATTAGGATATTGCCCGTATTTACGTGATACATGTTAGGTATTTTGTTAGCTAAATCTGCGCCTACTGATGAGAAAAATGAGTTAAATAAATCACATATTAAATTACCTTCCGTAATAATTTTCGAGTTAGATATCAGTTTGGGGGGAGCACCGCTGTCTTTTATTTTATTTAAACCTAAGTTACCAATGAGCTCCCACATTTTCTTAGGCTGTTTTCTACATTTATGAAACATTGTATGTCTTTCAACTGTCTGTCTGTCTGTCTGTCTGTAAACTTTCTAGGTCTACCCGTTCCTGAGAAAAAAGGTGGTGACACACGGACAGACGGATAAGAAAGTGATCTTGTAAGGGTTCCTTTTTTACCTTTTGAGGTACGGAACCCTAAAATGACAAACACACGAGCACAGGGATCCATATGTAAAGAAAATACTGTTTTTGCGACTTTTCTTGCCGCCCACTATACGGAAAAGACCTTGCTTTCAGTGATTGTAACTTATTGTAAGTCTTATTTCTAGTCTTAATTATCAGAAGCCGGAAACTTTTAGTACGCCCTGAGTAATAGATAAATTAATTTGCTCTTAAGAGGGTAATTTAAATAACAAATCTAAGTATAGTTCACGAAATAGACACAGTAAATTGGAAAGTTTGGCCAAATCTGGAAATCTTTTTCCTAAAGGAATTACAAGGTTTGTTATGTAAACGCGGCCTCAGCGCTAACCGGCTTTAGATTAAATTTGCCACACAGATAGTTGTATTGTGATTGTATAGTCATAGAGGAAATAAGATTCACGAAACGAACGGATTACGGAGCGGGTAAAAGTTGTTTATACTACCTACATATGTAGATACTAATCAAAGTAAGGGTGCAAAATGATACTATAAAATGTAGTTTTAGGTAAACACATCCTTGTTACAAAGTAACTACACCGGGAATAGAGTTTTGAAGCGCTCGAATAATTTTTCTTCCATGCTCTTAAACTCTAAATCATTACAATACAGAAAAAAACATAATTACACAATGCACATTAAAATTATTACTTTTTAATAAATCAGTCAATTTAAATTCAACTCAATCATATCCAATGTAAATTATTAAATACTTTAACTCTTACTACTAACTTTAACCCGTAATAAAGTAATTTGAATTATGAATTTAGTTTTTTCTAACTCATTAAAATCCAATTTAACAATTAAAAGCAGATATATTAAACCAATAACGAGTATAATAATTAAAGTTTCAATATAAATAATTAAAATCAAGATATAAATAATTAAAATCGAATATAAATAATAATTTTATGTAAGTATTTACGGTCTATACTCAAATTATTACCTAGCTTATCTAATGGTAATAAAATGTTTGAGTTATCTATAAAACGTAATCCCAGTCACATAATAATATTTTAGTAATTCAGTAAAGACCCGAAACCATGAATTTATTCTAAGAGTAGTTTATTTAAGAAAATCAATAAAACAATCTATATCATTTAAGACGATGATAAAAGAAAACATTCTATAAGTAATGTATACGACAACGTCTACTTATAAATACAAGGGTAAATGGTTTCATGTTTATTAAAATAATAAATGTGCTACATTGCTGTGCTGCTGTATAATACAATAGTAGGTAGTATTGTAACTCATCATAAGATCAAAATGTCTGTACGTGCTTTGAGAAAGAAATTCCATAAGAAAGCGGAAGAAATGAATACGACACGAGGCGAGACATTGATTGTGATTCACTCCGCTCGCTGGCTCTATTCGCTTTGTACCACGATAATTTCTCTATTTCACTATTTATTACTGAAGTGTGTTTAATACACTAAACTTGTCTTGGCCTTCAGATCCAACGGCGGGCGTTTTTTGTAAATAGCAATCGAACATAGTTAGCGCAATTTCATTTAGAATAATGTAAAAAAGGTAGGTACGTTATGCAGTGCGTTAAAAACAAACCTGTTATTTTAAGGCGTACAGCTAAATCCTTGAGGCTTTGCATCTTTCTGGGGTAACTCGTGATTCCACAGATAGTATATGTAAAGTAAGATCGAAATAACTCATTAATCCTAATAGTTGACGGCGACCTGTAATAATGACAATATACAAATATCAAGACGATGATGATAATTTTCTTCCCAGGTTAGCTGATATCCTGCCTTTCGTAGTATAGATAACATTGTGTATTTTAGTTTTATATTATCCATACATCTAAAGAAACGCTTATCTAAGACCAATATCGATATAAATAATATCTGTAGTCAGCGTACAATGGAAACGTGTTAATATTATAAACTAAATTCTACCTCAGCATTTATTAGCGAAGGTTATAAATATGACTTATTTATGCGATTAGCGCAGTAGTTACATAATTGGAGACGAAAATGTCAGAAAATGGAAATCCGCCGTTGGTTCTTCTTCATTTTGACTAACTGTATCCTAACACAATGTGAGTGATTTTAACAACTTATTCTTTAAACATTCGTAACATGTATGCATGTTTATTTATTAATTTACTTTAATTATAACGGTTATATAAATTACAATAATTAAATTAGGGAGGTAAATCATAATATTTTTTGATCTCCAGACGATTCGATCGGATCTAAAGTTGTAATTATAATGAAAAATTTAATTTTGGACTGACAAGTTAAATCCTTTTCTCTTCGTTAAATGTTAGAACGTTTTGTTCTGTATAAATGTGTAAACAACAATGAATTCTTATGGCATACTGGGCTATTGCTATTTTTTTAACTTTTAAAATGTAATTTAACGATTAAAAATAATAGAAAACTAGAAAAAGTAACAAATATAATGTTTGAGTCTTGTGTCATTGTTAACTCCATAAAACTACTGCCCTAAACTAAGATAACTACCCTATTGTAATATGTTTCCACTAGATATTAAATTACACTTCACATATTTCATTACGCATTTACAGCATCAAATCATGCAACGTAATTTTTTTAAATGTTCCCTTTTTACCTTTGCATTTCGTTTTTACATCCACGACCAAAGTGTTCTGGCACATGTTATAAATAATGTTTTCATCAACAGATCTGGAAGGAAAGTCAGTGTCATTAAACGAACTGATTGCAGCAGAATCTCAAGCAAAACAAAGTGAAGAAAAACATCCTATAAAATTTAGAGGTCAGTAGCTTTAATATAAATTATATGGCAACGGTGATAATATAACTAGATTTATATGTAGGGAAATACTTTACCAGCTAGAAGCCAATTCACATTTAATGTAGGGATGGCATTTAACACGGCTTATAATTAGTTTTCTTAATTACGTACGGTACCGTAGGGATACATTTAAAAAGCAGTCGAAGTACTGTTTTTCATTACTTTTATATACCTACAACTCTGGGAGTAAATAAAATGGTATAAACTATTTACTTCTTACTTCCTGCAGGACAACAATCTGCCATCTACATAAATATTTTTGTTATACGAGACGAAACCCACATCATTTAAGGCAGTAATAGTAGGCAGTAATGAGTTAGTAAAATAGACTTAAAATAGGTAAAAAATACATTTTTATTAAAATACTGGAACTGATAAGGAAACTGGATGGATAGCTATAGACGGCAAACTCTTATCTGAGTAGCAACTGAAGAACTAAAAATTAAAGTCCTAAAAGTATACTAGAATATCAAGTTAATTATTAAAAATTAAAAAAACGCATACTTACAAACAAATCACAAACGTAGTTATATTTGACGACCGAATGGCGTAGTGGTTTGTGTAACGGACTGCTATTCCAAAGGTCGCGGGTTCGATTCCCGCTCAAGTCAAACATTTGTGTGCGTGAACATTTAATGTTTGATTTGGTCTGGGTGTTTCTATGTATAATATGTATGTATTTACAAAAAAAAAAGTATATATGTATTAATATCAGTTGTCTAGTACCCATAGTACAAGCTCTGCTTAGTTTGGGACTAGATGGCGTTGTGTGAATGTGGTACAATATTATTATTATTATTATTATATCTTTTTAGCACCATTCTCTTCCAAATAACATTTAAGTGTTTTAGAAAGACATTTCAAAACCCTTTTACTGTGGTAGCAATGGATTTTAAACAAATATCTTTTTGGAAACGTATAATTTGGTACCAAAAACTAGCCATTTCATTTTTGTATGATATCATATACCCGGTGTCACTAACAATCAAGACGAATCTAACGTCACCTCAAAAAACAAAATCCATCAAGCTATTTAGGCTACAGAGCGTGTCAAAGAAATACCTATATGTCTACACATTCTAGAAAAATATGACCCTCCTGGCGCAGTCGGTTAGAAATTTAATTCACATTTGACCTGACGGACTTCAATTCCAAAACTCCGTGGTAACATAAAACATTTACAAAAGGGGATTTCTTTCATGGACTGACATATGAATAAATTGAATATCTTGACAAATGCGAAGTAAATTAGATCCTTAACCGCTTTTTACATTCCGACAAAGTTGATCTTTCGATTTACAAGCAATCTCACTAAAGATAAACGTCCCCACCTTTTTGATGGCAAAGTAACAAATATTTTTACAGATCGAGAGACAGAAGAAACTTCATCTGACGAAATCCTGACCTCAGAAACAAAGATAAAGCGACTACCCAAAACACTACCGCCACTAAAATTGCCAGGTACATTTTCGTCATTATTAAATTGTGCTACTTGTATAAAGCCTTACGGAGTCGTATTTTTATTGTGCTCATCACACAATATGCATTCTAGGTGCGAATCGAACCCAGTACATCTGTCGTAATCAGGATCGCTTACCACTGGACCACTGGGCCTTATATAAATGTATAAACTTTTATATGTATATAGAAAATAGTACGAAACTGCTCCCCTTGGAAAAATAAAAATCACAATAATGTTACCGGTGATAGTAGGTGTAGTGGTGGATTAAGAATACGGAATGTCACTACCCCAATTCGTCCCGTGGGTGTCGTGACTAAAGGCGCAAAACAACGCAGGACACCAGCACTGCAAAAAGAAGGAAAACTTGACACAAACCCCATACCAACCTGTCTGGCCAACGTGGTATAGTAGGCCAAAACCTCCTTTCTAAGGAGAGGCCTATGTCCAGCAGTGGACTATTAAAGGCTGTTGATGTGATGATTGATGTGACACTCTAGGCCTTTTTTTTACCTGCGGAAACCTCCTCTCCTCCTCCGTCATCTCACAGGGGTTTGCGGCGAGGTGGTGTGTGGCGGTTGTAGTCGGTCCGATTCCAGCCTCTGCGCCTGTAATAGGAGGGATCCGGGAACTGCTCTTAATAAGACATCCGGACCCCTCCTAGCGCCTGCACCTAGCACCAACTTCAGGTGCATTCTCTATTTAAGCGACGTCCGGCACACGCAAACGTCGCCTCCTCGCGGCTGGCCGATACGGCGGGTGGAGGGGAAAACCCGTTCCGTCCACCCGCGACCACACTCAGGGCGGCATAAAGCTCTGGTAAGCGCGCCTCCGCCGCCCGGTTCGTCGGCGGCCAATTGGGTCCGAGTGGAGATCATGTTCCACAGGAGTGGTCCGAGAACAGACCCTCGCGGAACACCGCACGACAGGGGCCGATGTCTCAAAGCACCGTTTCGGTCCTCGTACATGAGGGTACGCTCCTCTAAGTAGTCTGCCACCAGCCGCCTTGGGTATTCTGACACCCCATGATAGTGGAGTGCTTCATTGATGCAGCTGAATGGCAGACTATTGAATGCGTTGCCGATGTCAAACGTCACCGCCAACAGTAGCGCAACACAGCTCCGAACGTCGAGCGCCCCGCTCGAAATCCGAATTGGGCGTCCGACAAATCAGGGCCCACCTCGCAGTGGTGCCGGACGATGCGTGCAGAGAGAATCCTCTCGAACAATTTACCTGCCTCGTCCAGCATCACAATAGCCGGCCACGCCCGAATAAGCCAGCCGTCCCGGCTTCCTCAACAGGATCAGCTTCCTGCTTTTCCAGCACTCAAGGAAACGTCCGGACGCCAATATAGCGTCCAACATTTCGCTGAGGTGGTCTGCCATGTGGTCGACAGCCTGAACCAGCACTCGAGCCGGTATCCCGTCTGGCCCAGGGGCGGTGTTCTTGGAACGGATCCGTAGAACAACCGCCCCCGATGCCGAATCCCGGACGGGTGGAACATCATCCACGTTCTCAACGCCGTCTCCGGCCAAGGAGGCCATAGGCGGGAGGTACACTCCTCACTCTCACTCTAGGCACTAACCTAAACTTCAAATACGCAAGCTCTATAGACTGTTTGAGGAGTCATCTAAATCACAGTTTAGGAGTGTCTTTATTATTGATGTATAACATGAACAAAGAAAGTGTATGTATACCTAGCATATATGTATTACGGATGTATTATGGATATTTTTGTAACATACGTAAAATTAGCTTTAAGGTCTCTTTAGGTACCTATGAAGTTGGAGATTTATAAAACCAGGGTTTTCAGATTTAATTATCTGCGGACGTAAGTATGAAACAAAACAGGTAGGATCACCAACAATACTTTTTTAAATTAATTAATATTTATTCTTATTACATTAATCCCCATTTGTTGAAATATTTAATATTATATAAAGCCCAGCACACCATTTATATTATATATATATATATATTTATTTTTATTTTATATTTATTTTTATTTATACATTATAATGACCTTTTAATTTTTCAGGACTTCTCAAACGGTCGCCATTACTCAGACACCTGGCATCTAAAGCGAAATTAGCAAGACTGAAACTATGTAGGTAGCAATATATGGTTACTTTTTCGGACCTTTACTAATCTCTACTGATCTATCTCAGAAGTTAGGTTAAATTTGCACTTCTTTTTATTCTTCTATGCTAAAGAATAGAGCGAGAGTGAGCGAGAGACATTTAATTAATTCTCTATTCCATTGGGGACATTTGAAGGGATAGGTAGTACCAGCGTATTTTAGTTTTCGAAAGATATAAGTGTTATTTTTCTATTTTTCAGCTAACAGAATATCAGCCGTCGAAAAACTATCACCACTTAGTTTGAAAAAAGCATTTCAAATCAAAAGCCCTTTGAAACCTAAGAAACTTCAAGTAGGCCGAAGATTAAGGCACAAACGGAAAAATCAGTCAAAAAAGCGCGAAATAAATCAAAATGATCATTTCAAACATCAATATGTTCCAGTTCTCAAGAGCCTTAATTTGTTGTTCGATAATCTTCTCAATTCCGATACGAGCGACTCTTACGACATCAAACCTAAAAAATATAAACACAATCGATCTAACTCTAAGGAACGATATGAATTCCCTAATGGCTACTCAAACAAAGGCAGTGCGAGAATTACCAAACATCGATCGAACAAAAAGGCAGTTGCTTTTGCCTCATCTTCACCCACTAAGGTCACGTCGGATACCAAGAATTTCCCCTCTGGCAAGGATTATGACTACAGCGCTAACAGACCGAATAAGATCATACCCGTATTACTTTCAAGAAATACCACTAGCAGTAGGCGAAACAATAATGGAACAAGTAAGAGAAGCAGCACCACATTTGACAGAGACATTGAAGGAAATATCACCAGGTATCATGGAGATAATGAACATATTACCCGACGGGGAGAGGATGAGTCCAATGAAGAAGGCGATGAAGACAATACCTACGGTGCTACACGAAATGAGTCAAGCGGCATTGGACACTCAAGAGGAAATGGAATTGATACCCGAAATTCCAAGGATCGAGAAATATTCGACGGTAGCGAATCGAAGAACAAAAACACCATTGACAACTTTGGAGAAAATCAACTCGAGACTAGGGGAAACCAAACAAAGAGCGAAAGCTCTGTACGAAAACCTCTTCGAAGATTACGAGGATTTGTACCCGAAGACAAAATCTCTGATGAAAGAGTCTTACCAGAGCCAATACGGTCCGAAGAAGTATATGAAGAAAGCATTCTCAGTGCCACAGACAATAGCTCCAGTGATAAACGAGTCATTGACAAAAGTAGCCCATTTACCACAGAAGATGAAAATGTTCGTAAAAGAAATGAAACAGTAATCTTAGTTGAAAGAAACTCTAACTATTCACAAGGATCTGGTAAAAAACTTCCTGTTGTTATGATTTTTGATGGGTACAGTGTTACAAGAGATAAAAATGGTGAAAATAAAGTTTTAGGCAAAACAATTCATATTCATTAAAAAAAAACGAAGATAACGATAGTTAGATTTAAAATATTTAATTTTGTGAACCTGTATATTAGAAATAGATAAGTATTTGTAGAGTTGTATGTAAAAAAAAACACAATATTTTTGTATTAATATTTATCGGCGTCCTTTCTTTCCCTTGGTCTTATTACTAGCTTGAGTGGCTTGCGGCTGTTGGTCTGCAGGTCTGAAACAAATCAATTTTGTTACCTAAATAAAATATTTGTAGTTGTAGTAGGTTATTTCAAGCAAGTATTATAATTATAATTGGGTGTAGCATACACAAGTATAACTAAATTTAAATTCAGGCATACCTAAAGGAGATGCTAAATGTTAGTAACTTCCATTTGTTTAATTACTTGTTTATCTCTTAATTTGTTTAAAAAGCATAATACTACAAGGTCTACAACTTTGCCTTGGAGCTCAGTAGTAATCACACTCTGTTAATAATAGATCACGAGACGTAATTATAGATTGTATGACAATTAAAGTAATTATTTTGCAAACATTGTATTTGTTATGGCAATGGCTTTGCTTTTTAATAAGACATTATTTTAATGTATTCAGTACTTAATGTATTCTATACATTAATTATTGATTTTGTGGATCATAAAAATTGTAGGAACATCCAAAGATATCACAAACATAGATTACCAGTCCAATTTAAAAATATGTGTAAAGTCACTTCCTTTATAACCAATAACACCATACTATTATTTAAAAAGGCATTTAACAAAGATTTAGGATTTGATCTCATTGTAAATCTATACTAATATTATAAAGCTGAAGAGTTTGTTTGTTTGTTTGTTTGTTTGAACGCGCTAATCTCTGGAACTACTGGTCCGATTTGAAAAATTCTTTCAGTGTTAGATAGCCCATTTATCGAGGAAGGCTATAGGCTATATATCATCACGCTAAGACCAATAGGAGCGGAGCACCAATGATGAATGTTTCAAAAACGGAGAAATTTTATTACTATTGAGAGACGCAGACGAAGTTGCGCGGATCAGATAGTGTTAATATAGTTAAAGTATGTTATAACTTTAATAATAAGTTACTCACTACATTAGCTATTTAAATATTTAATTTTTTGCAAATACTACATGATAAAACATCATAAGATCTATTAAAGATATGCCCAAAAGTAATAGATATGGATACTATTTATACAGATACATTTTTTTTCTTTGGATGTCTGTGGATATAAACATAAGTATATGAATTGCAGTCACAACACTAACATACATGTATGTGCAGCGTAAATGTCTTTTAAGTAGACAATAGTGTTCCTAACAACCATCCTGAAACAGGCGAGGGAATGAGTGTACTCTAGTAGTATAAAAATACCTCTGTACATATATAATTTGAAGTGACCTCATGCAGTTACAATAACTGTAAGAGCCTATTACCTGTTTTGTCTAGTTTTCAGTTTAGGTATCTGTTCCCCAATATGCTTCATCACTGCATCTCGAGTAGGCAGGTCAGGTTTGACTGGAGTGCCATCATCATTCTTAAGTTGCACTCTAATTCGACCTCTGAATAATATTTCCTAAAAAGGTTAAATACATACAAATACTTACAATTTTTTTACTGCATACTTTTAAGTATCTAGCAGCTTAACTAAGATGGACCAATTAACTAGAGGCTATTTTTACTATTATTTTTTTTATTTACCTGAGAATAATGTGTTTACATTATGCAAATAATTTATTTCAAGGCTACTGAAAGAAATGCATAAATGCAGTTTAAAAAAAATGAAGAAAACTATGCAGTACTGTCACACATTTTTTTTTAATTATGACCTTGTAATGGGGTAGATTACTTTAAAGTCAAATCAGTATCTCTTTAAATGTCAAAATGTTAGACACTGTACATTTTTGGTTATCTGAATATCTTTATGTCGATTCTAGTTGAGCTTTACTTTAATGATTTAAGCAAAACAATTTATTGAAACCCAGGAATCTACCATATTGCAACTAAAAGTATTGGTATACTAAATTTGTTCATAGAGGTAAGAAATTCAATATAAGGTTATACCTTGCTTGGTTCTCTGGGATATAATTTGTTCTCTACTCCTACCCTTAGACCTGCAGCCACCAATACATCTCTGATCTCCTGATGAGTAGGATTCTCTACACAACTAGCTTTGGGTAATTTACGTCCTTGCGCCAATGTCTTCTTGCTATTTAAATATGCAGGGTAAATGCAAATCCATCTGGAAAGTACACAGGTTTCTTATAATTAATGATTTAACTAAAGCATTTCTAGTAAAGAGAGAACTAGAGCGAGATTAAATGAACATACGAAAAATATTTAGCTGATTAAATAAAAGGTTACATACCTTTCCACGTCGCTATGTTTCTTTTCAGGGTTCCAAGAACTTATCATAGCAGCCATTATTTCAATATGTTCATGTAATGTAACCTTTCTATAATCATCAAAAGTAGTACTCTGTTTGTCAAAACACGTAAGATTGTGCTAAAAACTTTTGTTACTATTTTTTTTTCATTTACTTAAATAACATAGGTACGATACAGCATAAAGTACACTATTCCGATATAGCTCGGCATATGACGTTTAAATATTTATGACAAGACAGCTATAGCGATGGGCAAGTCGTGTTTGTTAACAGACTGAATTTATTAAGTTGAGCAACTCGACGATTCGAATTACTTCAACATATTTTTTTTAATTATTATTTCAATTACATTTATTCATAAACATATAAGCTTACAGTAAAAAATAAATACATTATAATTCAATTAAAATATTTACAACATTAACACTATTTACATACAACCATAAAAAAAAAAATCTACATCATCGTATTCTCCTAGATCATGGTAGCGTTCCCAGAAGACTGGCAGCATTGCTTCGTTGAATGTCGAGAAGTGTCGATAAGTTGCTAAGCTAGTTGTTTTCAATATATTACAATGTACTATGTGGCTAGTTATATATACATAGCACGAGCACTAACGGTTCAAAAATGTAATTTCCTATAAAATTTTGTTATTTACGCCGTTTGAGGCCGCCGGCGCCGTTTCTGCGCATGCAGCAGGAGCGCCGGCATAACCAGCTGTGTTTGGAAGATGTGATGGCGCAAAGGTGTCGACGCAAGTTGCGTCCTACACCAACGGCTTACCCATCTTCCATGGCAGCAACGACATACTATCCAGTGTTTTCCCATCGTCTCGCTCGTACCAGATCAATGGGGTCCCGTACAGCTGGAACGCTGCCGGTAACAAGAGCACTACGGATAACGTCGTTAATATTGGCATGTCGAGACATACGTCCAGCGCTTTTTCTACAAGAAAGGCCATGACCTTCAAGACTGTCAAAGAAGACAAATGGCAAGGCGAAATGTGATATCGTCCCATTGGTAATAGTTTAGTTTACATGTTCGTGTCGCATTATCGCGTGAATATTAACAAAAATATCAACAAAAGCATTCATACACAAATATACATCTATTCATATAATATGTATATATACTCAACTCTTCTGTGCCATGGACCGAAGACAGAAATGCTGGAAGGCTGACATCTACAATTTTGCGTACTCCAAGACCACCTAAACGAACTAGTATTGTCACAAATAAAAATTTTGCATTTCTTAGAGTTAAGTTCTAAGCCAATAGGTTTAAATTTTATTTTTTATATAAGATTAATTTTCTAAAACTGTATTTACTTCCCCTTCTAGAGTTCCATCGTCATGGTACCAAATGTTAAATTTAGACTTTACCTGCTCAATAAAGGAGTGTATTGCTAGACTAAAGATAACTGATCCCAAAGAATCATCAAATTTTAGGGGTTTAAATTTTGCACATTCCTTTCTAGGGTATACCTGGTTCCCCGGCTATTAGTACCCGAGACGGCGTGCGGTTTTAGTCGGTTCGAGTCCGACATGCCACCGATAGATGGTATCCGAGGGGATTTCCGCACGAAAAAAAATAAATTGCCTGGGTCCAAAATATCGACAGCACATAATTTATGTTGTTTTTTATTTGTTTAGTTGTTTAAAATTCAGGTTTTACATAGATTTTTATAATACTAATGATCTGTAGTAACAAAGCTATTTTTCAGGAAAAATTAAGTTATAAATCTTACGTAAATTTTTGCATTTACAATTTCTTTTTTTTTATGTTAATGTTTTATGTTAAAGTTCAAAGATTTTTGGAATTGGTTACAATTCCAAAAATCTTTGAACCTGAATATCTCTTTAACTCACGTTCCAGACTCCAGTACTTGCACGTTGTACATCACGATCATATCACGATGCACATTGCACACGAAGAATTTTGAGTATTATTCTTGACATTGTTAGGTACATAAAATCTAAGTATACTTATTATATTATATTTTTGTAATATTTACTATATGTCATAAGAGTGTTTACCAAACATTTTCAATTAAGTTGGTTTACTGAACGGATGTTGGTCTTGTCATCTGTAAAATAAAACGTATATAACCATTATAAATAACCTAACCAGGGTCTGTCAACTTTGTTCTTAGAACAAGATGTAGGTGGGCTTGAAAACAAGAAAGAGACAACAACATTAGAGTAAAAGAGATGAATTATAAAATGTTGCCACCAAAATTACAATTTCGTTTTCTCCAAAACAATGAGCTAAAAAAGAAAGTCACCCTTAAAAATACATTTTGTGATTATTCTGATACCCAAAAAAATTATTTTGCTAAGAAATATAACATATTTAATTGATCAATACACAAAAACAAAAAAAAGATAAGGGGGAAAATGTGTGGCAACTACTGGCAACACGTTTGACGTCACAAGAAAAATGTCTGCCTGCGGTTCCCGCACCATTTTATCTTGTACCTATGTTTATTTGTAATAAATAAACTAGTTGCATTTAATTCTACATACATTGTTACCGTGAGTCGAGTTTGCTCCTCCGTGGCTGTGTTTTGGTGAAATTAAGTGTGTGTTTGTGAGATATAGACTCGGTGTTGAGATAGTGACTTGTTTGATTGTGTGTTTAATTTTCGCAATGAGTTCGCAGAAAGAAAACACTATAATCTGTTGCATGTGTGGATCTTCACCTTCTAAAGATTCCAGCATCACTTTGCATCGGTTTCCTAAGCCTGGCTCAAAAAATGCTCTGCGGTATGTACCTACCTAAGTACTTTCCATGCTATTCGTTTACATCCTTTAAATCTCTTTCAATCAAAGGAAATACAGAAAGTTTAGATTGTTATTTAGATAAAACTTAATTAAAAATATGATTATTAACCCTTTCCCCCCCGGGGTAGTGATTTTTAACAAATTTTCGCTTTTGAACTTTATTTACATAATAAGGTAAGTAAAACGAAACGCACAGATTTTTTTTAGATTTTTATTATACCTAGAAGTACTATTACCAAGACCTAGACTTAAAAGTGCCGTCAGGAACTTCGTGTTATCACAATGTTAGGAACTTGGATAGAAACTACAAAATAATGAGATCCAATATTGACTTAGTAATAATTAAATTATTAGGTTTTTAATTACAGATTAACCTCATGGTATTCAACAAAACAATTTTTCTTCTCATTTACACACAAAAACACGTTGCAATGCGAACATTTACTATGAGGTTTCGACTGAACCTTATTCAAGCTACAAACTTTACACCTTCCCCTGTTCTCTACGAATGTAGACCAATGGATGCCTCTGTTACCCATACATATAGAATAGTCAGATTTGCGCCTTTTTGAAGGGTCGCCATCCGCAGTGTTATCAGTAGAAGTCTTTCTATTCTGACTAGCATTTTTCATTGTCAGTCTCTGGGCATTTGGACATTTATCATTGCAATGCAGATGAGATAAAATAATTTTAATTTCCTTTTTAATTTTAATTTCGTATTTTATTTTTTAATTTTAATTTTTTTTTTTAATTTCCAGGTGTGAATTATGGGCAAAGTATTGCTTTCCATACAAAGCCTGGTCTTCACCAAAATTCCAGGATGAACTCCATTCAAAACATAAGATGCTTTGCAGCAAACATTTTGAAAGCACATGCTTTATTGAGAAGAAGTTGTTCAGAACAGCTGTACCTGGTGTTCAATGCCATAAGGTTAGTACAATTAATACTTTAAAAGTGTATTTAAAGCTATTTACATTGCAGAGAAATACAGACTTTATGTTATGTGTAACACATAATATTATGTAGCAGAATGATGTTGTTAACATAAATTTAAGAAAACTTGGGCAATTACAAACATGCAAAATGAGTCATAAATTTAGATGGAATTTGGTATGTAGAAACTTTGATTCTTGAGGAAAAACATGCTACTTTTTACTGCGATAACCAACATTTACGCGGAGGGAGTGCATTTTTACCGCGATGACCGACATTTACGCGGGCGGAGCCGCGGGCAGAAGCTAGTTATAAATATTTCTTATATATATAATTTGCTTACCTCAACTATGACTTATATTAATTTAAGGATTTAAATTAATTTATTTAAAATAAATATGTTAACCTTTCATTTTCAGGACACAACAATTTCTAATCTGCCAGATCAACCTGCCATATTTGAACCTGTTGCCGGTCCATCCAGAATTTATCCTTTAAGAGAACATAATGCAAACATTATCACTCCAACCAGTTGTTCAGGAATGATTGTGTGCAAGTCTTCAAAACAAGAAGGAGATAAGAAAAACAAAATGTTGATAAGGAAACTGAAAAATAGTATGAACAAAGTGTATAGATTACAAAAAACTGTAAAATATTTAAAAAATGAAGCATTTTTAAATGAAATCTCCAACAATGAAACAGTAAAAAAAATCCTCAATAAAAAAATGAGTTCATCATTGGCCCTGTTACTGCAAGGAGAACTGCAGAATTATAAGAGGAAGAAACCTGGACGCAGGTGGAACATGGAAGCTAAAATAATAGCATTGAGGCTCTATAAAAGGTCACCAACATGCTACAAGTTATTGAGGAGAATGATTTGTTTACCAGCACCCAGCACATTAAAATCCCTCTTAAGCAGATTTAGGATGAATGTGGGGATACACAAAACAACACTTACAACGTTGAAAAAGATTACAAAACACTTTGGGCCATCTGAACGAGAGTACATATTGTTGTGGGATGAAATGTCATTAAGAAAAAATTTATGGTACAACTCTAAGTCTGATCAAATTGAGGGTTTTCAAGACCATGCCACACAAGGTAGATCTCCACAGGCAGCTTCATATGCGCTTGTATTTATGGTGGTTGGAGTTAGGAAGCCAATTAAACAGCCAGTGGCTTATTACCTATCAAGTGGATTTGTCACAGCTGACAGACTATCTGTTTTGATTAAGGAGGTATGCATTTCTTCTTCATTTTGAAAGATGATCATGCTTATGTTAAATAAGCTAAGTTACTAATCTGCCTTAAAAAAATTTCAGGTTTTAAATTGTTGCTTTAATGCTGGCCTTAATATATGCGCTTCAGTTTGTGACTTGGATGGAGTCAACAAGAAAGCTCTGTGTCTATTAGGAGCTTCTGTAGAGAATCCCTATATAGAAGTGAGCAATCACAAAGTAGTCACGCTATTTGACACACCACACTTGCTGAAGTGCTTCAGAAATCTGTTCATGAAATATGATGTAAAGTTTATGACCAATATAACATCAGACAACAAACAAGGAATTGGTAAGTCATTGTTATTTAGTTTAAAAAAAGTGTTTAATAATATGTATGTAGTTTATACTTAACTAGCTGACCTGCGCAACTTCGTCTGCGTCTTTCAATAGTAATAAATTTTCTCCGTTTTTGAAACATTCTTTATTGGTGCTCCGCTCCTATTGGTCTTAGCGTGATGATATATAGCCTATAGCCTTCCTCGATAAATGGGCTATCTAACACTGAAAGAACTTTTCAAATCGGACCAGTAGTTCCTGAGATTAGCGCGTTCAAACAAACAAACAAACAGACTCTTCAGCTTTATAATATTAGTATAGATAATTTTACTTTTAATAATTACTTTACAGGAATCGCTAAATGGAGCCACATCAGACAATTCTATGAACTGGACAATAATAATCCCAATTTTGTTTATGCACCACTCTTAACTAAAGAACACGTTGACCCCAATACCAAGCAAAAAATGAGGGTAAAACTTGCAGCACAAGTTTTAAGCCACTCAGTTGCAGCAGGAATATTTTCCAAAATAGCTAAAGGTAAGAGACATCTTTAATAGTCATGGTCCAACTCATTTATACACACACATCATAATTATTATGCATGATACTTATGCACATTTAACAACAAGTCTTACAAATTCGTTTCAACAGTATGAAAATGTGGGGTTGTCTCTTTTATAAATGGTGAAACTATCTAATAATTATATTGTCATATTATATTGTACTTATATTGATTTAATTTGTTTATTGTGAATTTTCAGGAGACATGCCGACTGGAGCAGTGGCAACGGGTAATTTAATTAAAGACATGGATGAACTGTTTGATGGAGTAAACGCGTCGACATCAGATTTAAGAAGAGGAAAAAAAATCCACAGAACAGAACATTTTTTACATTTTTTTATATTTGTGGAAAAATGATAATCAGGAGATAGTACTATTTGCGGATGACACTTCACTGTTATTTAAACTTAAACGACAGCAATCAGTAACTGATGACGTGATTAGCACTCTCTCTAAGGTTGTAAACTGGTTTAATGTTAATAATTTATTTTTAAACGAGAATAAAACGAAATGTATTAGATTTTTTACACCTAATGTTAAACAGGTAAAGACCAATGTTCTAATAAATGGAAAGGAGTTGAATCTTGTGGACACCACCAAGTTTTTAGGTATAACACTAGACTCTAAATTGCAATGGGGCCCACACATTGACGGATTGTCGAATAGACTTAGCTCTGCAGCATACGCGGTTTACAAAATTCGTCAATTAACCGATGTAGAAACAGCTAGACTGGTGTATTTTAGCTATTTTCATAGTGTAATGTCATACGGTATTTTGTTGTGGGGAAATGCTGCTGACATTCAAAGTATCTTTATGTTGCAAAAGAGAGCTATTCGTGCAATTTATAATCTTAGTTATTAGCAGTCACTGAGGGATAAGTTTAAAGAAATTGGTATCATGACAGTCGCATCTCAATATATATATGAAAATTTAGTGTATGTAAAGAAAAATAATCATTTATTCACAAAGTTTAGCGACATGCATAAAATAAACACTAGAAATAAAGATAAACTCGTGTTACCAACCACTAGACTACAAAAAGTAAGCAAGTCTTTTCATTGTCAGGGTGTGCGATTTTACAATAAAGTGCCAAGCAAATTCCATGAATTAAGTATTAATAAATTTAAGTCTTTAGTAAAGCTAAAACTATGTGAAAAGGCTTACTACACTATTACAGATTATTTAGCCGACAAATTTGCTTGGGATTGATGCTGCTCACTCCCACATTTACGTAGACATCTTTGTTGTTAAGTTTGAAAGTGATGGACATTTAATTATTATTTTTTGGTGTATTTCGTATTTTGTTTTCGTATTTTATTTTTCGTTGACTTTGAACTGTGTAGTATTTTTTTATTTTTTGTGTAAGTATGTAAATGTGAGTACAGTGTAGGCTTGTAATGTTAATTAATTTTTTATTATCTTTCTGGTGGTTTTGAGTGTTTCCACGGCCTACCCAAATGTCCTGCTGGCGGTAGTGTCGTGCTTCGGGTCGTTGATCTTGACCAATATCGGTTAGGCTACACGATGGCTGGAGCCTGTATGCCGTCTGTATGGACAGGTTGACTCAAAACTATGATCCTTTCCTCAAAAGGCCTATCCAGACCCTATACTGTACTCGCACAGTTTTAATTAACTTTGTTTACGGACTTAAAAAAAAAAGACACCTCTGTGGTTTGTTTCGGTGTTTCTTCCCAGAGTGAGTCTTAGGAAATGCCGGCTCCTTCTATAAAGTCCGACTTGTAAAAATATCTGAAAAGATTTACTTACAGAAATAAATATCTTTTCATTTCATTATAGGCTGATTATGCTTTATTTATTATTTTACAACTTGTTTTATTAATGGACGATAGTGTAGCTAAATTGGTCAGATCTGTCTACCTTCAACAAAAATAATAAGTATCTCTCTTGTTAACCATTTCTTTATTTATTTTATTAAACTGAAATAATACATATTATATAATATTATGATATATGTCTGTAAAGTGTAAACTTGTGTTTGACCTTGTCTAGGTTTTTGATGTTAAAATTGTATGCAATAGACCATATGGTCGAAGATGCTTGCTGTATTTTCAAATTGTATGTATTATCTCATTTTTAGAATATTATGTTTAATTTGTGTTTAGATTAAGCGACAAATTTTGTGATTAATTATCATTACATACACGCCATGTCAGAGGCCTGTGGGATTCCCAGAGGCGACTTAATAAGCTCTGACACTAGAGGGTGGCCACAACACACGCAAAAAAATTACATACACATACTTGTGAACACATTTTGTCCCAAATGAATATATAATCCAAAAACACATTTATTCATGTAAAATTAGTATATAGTTGCTTATAATATGAATATCTGATAAATTATAATGAATATTATGCTAAATAAAAAAATCAAATACTAATGTTTCTTTTATTACACTGTTCCATAAATATTGCTTTCAGCATTTTATGCACAAGTACAGTGTGTTTCTCGATAGTGATGTCGTTTAGATGTCAATTGTTTTTGCTGAGAAATAATTGACCATCTTGATGAACACTATCGAGAAACGCACTGTACTTGTGCATAAAATGCAATACAAAGTATCTGTTTTGAAATTCCCGCCCTAGCTTCTACTGTCTAGTTTTGGTGGGCGGAGCATAGATGGCGCCGGCCGGTAAGGAAAAATTTCCTCATAAAAATAGTATGGAGTCGTTATTCTTCCCCTTTAGGGGTATATATGTTCTGTGAACCTAACTTTTCTGAAGAGCTGAAGTGAAATGCAGACGTTGTCATTAAAAGTTTCAAATACAGTTTAAAATCTACTGAAATATACACGACCTGTGCGCTTGTTTAAGTAGTATTAGAAAGTGAAATTTATAATAATGGCTCATATGGTAGGAACGGAGAAATATATAATTACTGCAAAAGAACTTCACGTTGATATATTTAATTACTTGGACCATAAAACTATTGACATTGCTGTAAAAAATAAGCCAAATGAAAGGGATTCTATATCTGACATTGCACTTTCTAATGATGGTAAACAATTAGCAGTAATCACACTAACGTCGAAGAAGCTATTGGTGTACGATTTACAACTAACGAAACCTCAAAAAGAATACAATGTACCACGAAGTGCCAGTAGAATAAGATTTACTGTTGATGATTCAAAACTGTTAGTGGCAGATAAAAGTGGTGACGTTCTTATTTATGATATTACAACAGATAGTAGTGGGACTAAGATTTTAGGACATTTAAGTTTATTGTTAGATGTTTTGCAAACTAATGATTCGAAATACATTATATCCAGTGACAGAGATGAAAAAATAAGAGTGTCTTGTTATCCTAACACCTACAACATACAGACATACTGCTTAGGGCATAAAGAGTTTGTTAATCATATAGAACTTCTACCGCACAATGACAAATATTTGACCAGTACATCTGGAGATGGCACTGTTAAAATTTGGAACTACATTGATGGGAAATTACATCATACCATAGATACTTCTGTAGACATAACTGATGACCAATTGAAGCAAAACTTTTTGAACATAATGGATGAAGGAGGTATTGAAGTGTCAAATTTGCCTATTGTACATTATTCTACATCAAGTATAAGTGATAACTTTAGTGTTTTAGCATTAACTGTTCATTCATGTAATGCGGTACTTATTTACAGTCTAAGCAATAATGATAATAAATTTAGCCATAGATTAGAACACAAAATAATATTGGAGAATTTTCCAAGTGCTATGAAACTTCATAACACTTCAATTTTTGTATATGATGATACAGAGAGATATGTTCTTATTTACAAATTGATTTATAATAATGAAAATGTTACTGTAGAAACTCACAGTAAAGAAAGAATGTTTGAAAGTAAAGAAGATACAGACACTGAAAACAAAGAGACACAACTGGAAGCTATCAAAGTACTGTACAAAAGGAAATTTGATAATGTTCAAGAGTATCAAGAAAGAAAAAAACAAAGATTGGAGAAATCTTCAAAATAAAAAAATATATACCATATAGGTACTGTATTTTTTCTGCAAAGACCCTGTCTTCAACTAAGCACTTTTTATTTAGTTATATTTAATCATCTATTTATAGACATGGATTTGTTCTGATTGAATTTAGTAGGTAGGTGCTACTAGTAATATTACTATATATATATATATATATATATAAAACAATATTAGTACCTATTAATCACAACAAATCTACCGTTTTACAATTGTATATTATTAACATTTTAGCTTATACCTACGAACAATAAAGAAATTATTGTTGTACTTGTACACAGATACTTAACAAACTAAAAAAAGAAATCTGTAAAATAACTATGAAGGTTTTATTTTTTTCATATATTTATTTTTAAGTATATTTTTTATACACAAACTGTGTTGTGCAGAAATGGTTTCATCTGTTCAATCTGTACTAATTTAATTTACATATTAGTGATGAAAAATGATTTCCATCCATTAATTAGAAGCATCTTTTCCTAGCATTACATTATTTTATGAATTTAATTACATACATTACATTATGAATTTAATAATTCAGCATCAATCATTTTTGCCAGTTTGTGGATTAGATAAGTGAGCAATGGCCTTGGAACAGGTGGAACACCCCCACTACTGCTAATAATGTTAATACAAATATTTACACTAAGCAGGAATCCAACTCGAAACCCAAGATGGCAGTCAGATGCACTCTTCAGATATTCAAAACTTTTTTCATAAATAATTCGTTTTTTACATGTTCAAAGAATTTGAAAAATATTTGGTAATAACTTTTAAAAACCAGTCAAACAATAAATAAAACAAAATTTAACCAGGTATTATTTATTATCTTTGTTACAATTCAAACAAGAAATGTGAAATGTGCAAGTCTTATGGGTTGTACAAAATAAATGAAACCTAAGTATATTTCAACATTAGTTAAGCTAACAAGTTAATCTAAGCCAATTTCATTACACAAACAAAAACCTAAAATGACAATATCACATTTTAACTAAACACAACAAGGCATGTTATAACTAAGTTATAGATTCTGGTATTTTTAATACTTATTGCTTTTTGAGAAGAGCAATCGACCTGGCGAAAGAGTCATGAAGTTCACCGAACTTTGATATATTTGTAACACTATAATAATACATATTAATTAGGTATCTAGTTTTTACAATCGCCGTTAATATCTTAATGCAATAAATACATATAATCTGGGCCTTTATGCAATTTACCTAGATTTAAGCACATTAGCAAAGTTACGGAGTTGAAAGCCAAGATTGTCGATTTCGTTCAGTACACTGTCAACTTCGTTCTTTAGATCCATTAAATCTGGCAAATTATTGCAATCGGGTATGTTCAGAAGTGTTGTAAATATTTTATCCCATAAACTGACTTTCATGTACCTGTGAATGAAGAAATAATGTTAGCTTAAGAGCTGATAAGTTTTAAAAGTGTCTAAGAGTAATAATCAGTCTTTGGGTGCTAAATATAATCTCTCAACAAAAAGCACAACTTAAAAATACGGCACTCTAAACTTTGATTATCACTTTTGCAGTTGCATATTTTTATCATTTCCTTTACCGAATCGGTCTTTATATAAACAATCTAATAAAAATTGTTAAAATAAACATGTGTTCTTTAGTAGCTACAAAAAAAAATTCTTACCTACCTATAAGATTGTGACATTAAAATTTTTTACATAAAAAAACAAATATTTTGAAATGCCTTACCTAGGAAGCTTTTTGTCAATATTCCATTGTCCTAAACGATTAACTACTTTCATGTAACTACCCATCAAAATTACATGAATAGTACCAGCCAAACAGTATAAGTCAGTTTGATAAGTCCAAGGTTTGCCTTCTCTCATCTCTGTGCATGTGAAGCCTTCTGTTGCGATAAGCTGAAATAGAAAAAAGTATTTTTGTGTATACCTTCATAAAAAGAAATTTAAAAAAATTCAAATCATAATACTCCTACAAAATTAAAAATGTAATAAAGTGGATCATTGTTGATTCTAATATTTTAAAGGTGTACAATAAATGTAGATTGGCTACTCACTTGTATTGGTGTGTTAATTGTGGTAAGAGAACTGCTTCATAAGTAGATATAGTCTACTTTTTGCATTATGTCCAAGACCAACTTGAAAATATTTGAGCAATATAATTTAAAACTTAAATAAAAAAAATGAATTATTCACTTACCTCCCTAAATGTAGTACCTTCTGGGAATAAGGACATATCTATGGCACAACCAAGATCAATCAACTGTAAGGATGGAGTTCTCCATTCTTGAGTAGGTCTGTAAAACGCATGAATAAAATAAAAATATTATCATAGACTATCGAAATAATAAATATAATGTCTATTGTAACTGCTGTCCATACATTTAATGATTGCAGTCTTGACGAAAACTGATAATCATTTTTATTTTCAGTCCAGCAGCGACTGATCAGATTTAGGCCAATAAAAAATCGGACAATCAAAGGTACAGGTAAATTTGTGTACCGCAGACACTAAATTACGAAGTACTTAGATGACATGCATTTCAAAATTGTTTAGATAAGATTAGTATATTTTGGTGATAAATACTTTATATATTTGCCATACTTACATTTTCATTAACAAGAAATTGTCTGGTTTAATGTCAGCATGAATTATTTGCGCTTTATGTAGATAATGAATTATAGATAACATTTCTGAAGTGAGCAAGATTACAATAAACTCATTAATACATTTAGAAGTCGCGGCCCTTATTTTATTTGCTACATCTAAGAGAGACCCATATTTTGAATATTCTGAGACAAATAAACTTGCATTGTCTCCTAAGAAAGCTGTTGTGATGTCCATATATCCTGGAAGCTGTAAACATTACAGTATCATTAGCACAATATAAATAAAGAATATATATAATGTATAAAGAATATCATACCATGAATGGATCCTTTATTCTTGCTTTTATTTCTTGACAAATATAGAATTCCCAAGGTCTACTTGGTTTCTGATATTTCACAGCTACAGATTTATTGCCATGTAGATCCAAGCAAAGGAACACTGCACCATAATTTCCTTTACCAAGTTGCTTATCAACAGAAAATTTATTATGACCTACACTTATTACTGTAGCCAATTGCAACTTGGGAACCGATCTCACTTCCACATATCCATCAGCGTGCGTTTTATTTGGGAATTTTACGTAATCTAACAAAGAACGCAGGAGTTTTTTATTGAAAGGATCTATCAGTTTCGGGAAATCAATATCAGCCGGTCTGGGGATGTCACTGGTTTCCACTAAAGAAATAGAATGAGTGGATTTAAACGCCCCGCATTCCATAGAATTTTCACTGTCCACATCCATACCATAGCCGTCAGAGTGTAAATCTGAGGGACGCGAATACACAGCCGAAATTCTACTGTCTTTACTAACAGAGTCTCTGCTATCCTCAGACTGGAATTCCGCTCTATGTTCAAAGTCTAACTGCCTCTTTGAAATATCTTTTTGTTTATCAATAACATGCGATACCTTCGCAGACTGAATAGGCGTCCCAGTTTGCGCTGTCATTCCATCTTTACTATCGGAGTCAGACATTCCAGAAGATGGAGGTATTTGAGCCTGTTCAGGACTCGACACATACAGGTTTTTGTGCATTTTTTGAGATATACTTGGACTATTCGTAAACTTGGGAGTGTTAGCATTATCTTTGGGCTCATTTCTATTAGAGATGAAATTAAGATATTGGTTTGAGAAACCGATATCTGGTGAGTTCTGACCAAGTTTTACATTAGGTTGGTCATGTCGTATGTTTCTTAATGCACTAGTTGGACTCTTATGGGCTTGTGAATTTTTAGGTGTACCGTTAGATTTAACATGTTGTTCAGCAGAAGCAGATTCATGAGATTCTGGTCTCACATGCATCTCACTGCTAAGTTCAGATGGAATGTTAGCAGAAGGTGCCACAGGGCTTCGGTAGTTGGTCTGGGAAGATTGTGGACTTTGATAAATCTGAAATGAAGGATTTCCAGCCCCATATCCAGCTTGATGATTTTCACCCATTTGTTTCGGTTGCGGTCTATATTGATTAGACAATGAATTATTTTGTTGGAACATATTTGAACTGTTGTATTGATGCTGAGGTTGTTGATGCATATTATGATAACCCTGCTGTGGAGTAAAGCTTTGATTGGATTGTGCAGGTACAGGGCTGGGCCTTTGATAGTACTGAGGGCTTTGGTACTGTGCTTGATGAGGAGGACTTTGAAAAACAGCTTGTTGTTGTTGGTGGTGCTGCTGCTGCTGTTGTTGGTGGAGCTGCTGTTGTTGTTGATGGTTCTGCTGTTGTTGTTGGTGCTGCTGTTGTTGTTGGTGTTGCTGTTGTTGTTGGTGCTGCTGTTGTTGTTGGTGTTGCTGTTGTTGTTGGTGCTGCTGTTGTTGTTGTTGTTGTTGATTTACATGAATGGATTGTCTATCAGTTTGAGTGGGATAGTGATAATCTTGACGTCCAGCATAACTTTGCTGAGGACTCATCATAGGGTGTCCAGGACTATGGTATCCCACTGGGTTACTGTATGTTGGACTTTGGAATCCTGGGGGTACATTAGTGCCTATTGCATGTGGACTTTGCATGCCAGGGTGTTGAGGACTATGGTAAGGGTTAGAGCCTGGACTAGCATAGCCCTGTTGCTGCTGCTGATTCATCATTTGATTATTAGCATAGTTTTGCTGATGTTGGTAGTTATAGTTTTGTTGGTAGTGAGGATGCATTTGCCTCTGTGGAGAGTAACCATTGTAATTCTGAGGCATAGGTTTCTGATACTGATGATCATGCGAAAGATAAGGCACTGAGGTGGAAGGTGCAGCGGCTTTATTTTCCAACTCACGCTTCTGAGGGTGAATTCTAGCAAACTGCCCATTTAAGAGTCTTGGTTGTGAAGATAAAGAGCTTCTTTTCGATGTTGTTGGTTGTGCTGCATCATTATTGTTATAGATTGAGTCATAATTTGTAGTATAAGCAGTAAAATTTGTCCTTGTCGATTGCCCGGAGGAACTAGAGCCCGATTTACTGAAATATTTAAAACTTAAATTGATACTTTTTACTGATACTAAAGGTTCATTATGTAATTTGCCAAATAATAAAACACTGCAATCAACATTAAACTGACAACAACAAAGACAAGGGAACAAGCTATGCCGTCGCAATCTTCTTTTGTCTTAAATCGGCCATCTCCATTTATTATTTGTTATATATTTTAATTGCCTTGAATGGATTGTTTAAAACACTTTTTATATATAGTATTATATACTATTTAGATAGATATTTGAACAATTTATAAATACAGTATGTATTTATAGATACCTGTGTAAAGGTAAACAACCAACACATATGAAAACTTAAATCTTGTATGCAATATCATGAAGTAAAAAGTCCTTTGGAATAACCGAGTAGCTAAAGTAAACTGATTATGTCAAAAATCTATTTCGTGCAGTCCTAAATAAATGTTAATCGATAAATCGATTTCGGACAAAATTAAGAACAAAATTAAGACTAAAAATACTATTTTATATAAATAATATACTACAGCTATTTTCATAACGTAGCTGTGGTTATTTCGCAATATATAAATCAGTTATATTCTCATTTGTAATTTAATCGTTATCCTAAAAACCAGTAGTTATAATATGTTAGATTTAAATATGTAGTCACACTTATAATTTATACTAATTAATTATACGTAATAGGACGATTATTTTACTTTGTAATCGATTTCTTTCAGTTTGATTTCGAGTTTCGCATCCTCAGCCGATTGAAATCGGTAGAAAACGTCGCATTATGGTTCAAAAGGCCCAATCTTGTTGGACAATATTATTTGACACTACTAGTACCTAAATGTGTAATAAATACTAATAGCGAGTACCGCCAAAATAGCTACAAGACTGTCTCGACTTTATGTGTGCAATTGGGTTGTCACAAAAACAGATAACGATCGTAAAAACAGTGGTAAAAACAGTATATGGATAATTTGACCATATTTTACCTATTTAGTAGTATCTCGTACCTATTCCGTTTAAAATATTGAATAAATTATGTAAAACAGGTTAAAATTATACATTGGAGAATATTTTATTTCCGTTCGTGATTTCAGTTGGTGAAAATATTGGGCAAAGGTTTGATAAAATTGAATTCTTATACCCACGTGATTGGTACACCATTCCATCACAATTAGAATGTAATTTATAAATAATTTAAACAGTAATAAGTATTTTTGTAGTTATATGTAATATTTTATTAAACCACCAAATACATCAAGTTTTATTATATGAGCATATAATAAAACTTGATGTATTTGGTGGTTTAATAAAAAAATCTCTCTATAATAAAATATAAAAGAAAGAGCTTTCTTTTATATTTTATTATTAGTAAAGTAAAGAGATGAAAGTACCAATGTGAGTTAATCAAATAATAAAAATATTGCGAGTAATCTTATGATGCAACGAACGCGTGCAACTGATGTACGTGTCACTCCTGCACGGGCGTATCGATTAACAAGCAAAGCCGGCCGGAACTACTCCGCTCTCCCTCATACCTCGCCCCAGCGTTGCTCCTCTGAGTAGCTGAGTTGACTTACTATTAGTATTTTTTACACATATGCTACTAATTATCCCTCAGGTTTGTATCTATAGATGATTTGTCAAAATATAGCAAACATTTTGTTTTTTATACAATCAGAACTTGGCAAAACAAGAACTAAATAGTCAATTCGAAACTTGTAATAAAGTAATATACACGTATTTCCACGAGCACTACCCACCCGCAACATATATATATGCTCATAAAAAAATTAGAATAAGTTTAAAACCAAATTGAGAAAGAGAAAAAGTTACGAATGCTGTACAAATAAGACTACTATCTAAAAAAGGTCATGCCATGGTACAAGAAGGTACATGTTGTTTCTGGTTCAAGAAACACAAAGTTCGTACTAAAATATAATATCCATCACGTCAGACTGCAATTTTATCGGCAACCGTTAAAGTATTTGCAATGTGAATATTTAAAGTAGCACTTACTTGAGAAATCGTTATTGCTAGTATTATGATAGAATTGTAGTAACCTTTTGAACCATAGTGCGTCGGCAAAAATAAAAATAGTTAAAATATTCCTAATTATTAGCTTATATTAGGTGCTTGTCCGTTTGAGACAAGTGTTTGTCTCTAATTCATTAAAGAGGATAAATAATTATAGTTCTAAGTATAGTTTGTTGGCTTTAGGGTGAGATATGGCGATGTCTTTTCCTAGCGTAATAGTATAAATGCGAATAATAGTTAATTTGTTTGTTACGCCGATTACTACTACTCAACTGATAACATACACACTGTCCTAGAGCACACGTAGAACACCCCTCATTAAAAAACGAGCATTATTCCCGAAATATATCAGAATTGATCAATCAAATCTACATTTGAACTATTGTGTTACTAAAAATATAAAACTCATAATTAATCTGTTATTATCTATTTAGGTCATTCAAATAATGTATGCTTGGATAATCATATTATATATAAATGATTAAACACTGATTACACAAGTCTGTGTTGTCTTAAGATCATATTTGCAAATGATTTTACATCTGTTAATCAACTATTGTCCCTTAGAAATTATCCCAGTAACAGAATTATTAATTAATAAATGAATTTGCAAAACACTTATTGATATTAACTAACTTGATACCTGACTCATTAAAAGTTATTATTGATCATACCTGTTATATTCTCTTGTGGCTTCCATTATAACCGACAGCGCCGTGCCATGATTATCAACAGTAGCATGTTGATCAGTAGCATGCTGCCTTGAACTTTCTTCCCTTTTGGCCATTCCAGTGTCATGATGTTCTATGCCACTCTCATCCATATTAAATTTAGGCACAGATGGAAATTTGCTTTGATCAATACAGGATGTCGGTTTCTTAAATTGGGACATATTAGGCGTACTTGCATCCTTGATATTGAAATTAAATACTTGAGTACATGATGGCTCTTCGTAATAAGCAGTTTTGTTCACCTGTATGAAAGAATGTTTAATTTTTTTAATTTTTCACTTCATAAAATTCTCTGTTGAACTTCAGGAAAAAAAAAATTGCGTCTTCGGTCAAGCGAATCTCGAGATTTGCGCTCAGCCACACATTTATTTACATAGATTAATGATATATATATCATTCACATAAAAGACATCATTGATGATGTCGAACTCTACTGGATGTATGAAAATTTGAACGATAATGTGTTGTAAACTGAGGGTTAAAAAATTTACTGTTTAGTTTTAGGCCCGTTTACGTAATAGGGGGCGGAGCCCGTCAACCGGGGACATATTATATTCCTAATGAACATACTCGTACATTTCTGAATACGTACCTACATATTATAGATAAAATAACACCAGAACACGAAACAGATTATTGTGCTCACCACACAAAATTTGTCGTCTATAGGAATCGAACTCACGATTTGAGGCATAGCGGTCAGGATCGCTAATCACTAGACCAAAAGGCCAGTTACCACAACGCAATAAAGTCGGAGTCGTAACCTAATTTGCAACTATACTTCAAGGGATTGATAAGAATTGGCATACAATTTGTAGTAAAGTAGACAATTATAAAAATGAAGTAATACATACATTTTGCTGAGGATTTGCCGATGCCACAGGAGCTGAAAATTTACCAGCATTCTCTTTCTCTTGTGGCAAGTTTCTCATGTCCGTCATTTCTCCCTTCTTTTTCGTATTGATGGCCATTGTAATGGACCTATCTTCATGGATGTCGAAGTTGGGAACTTCAAATTGTTGCACGACTGGCTGCACTATGGAGGGCTCTAAAATTTGCCATCGACTATTAGATAAGTATAACTACTTATAACGTATGTCCAGTCTCAGATAATTTTAATATTCTCAGTCTTAGATAATCAGTGTTAATTGGATAAATGGCAAAAAAGAGGTCTGTCCATGTTACCTTACAAATCAGGCATTTTGAAAAAAAAAAAAAAATGTTACACATGGAATTCATTCATTCATTCATTCCTATAATTTGCAATATTAGCAACGAAAAGATAACGAAATAGAGAAAAATAATTACCATTATCGTTAAAGAGATTTCTCAGTTCCCATCGTGCTTCTTTAGTGTTGACAGTAACAGAATCACCCAGAAGGTTACCCATTAAGCTTCTATTGAATTCTTCCATCAAATTATTCTTTCCGTAATTCGTCGGTGCATTCTCATTGCCATAACTAGTGTTTGCGGGGTTCACCATTTGGTTCTCTTTGTCCGACATGGTTGACGATGGTTTGTAGCTGTCATCACTCTTTTTAGCAGAGAGTTCGCTAAATTCCTTCGAATCCAGGTTTACTAAGACTTTAGGTTCACCAGGCGAATGCATATTATTCACCTTTGTAATATTTTGTAGTGTAGGAATAGCCAGAGGCATCAATTGTCCTAAATGATCTTGTTCCGAGTCTAAAGCACAATTCGCTAAAGTCTCTAAAGCACTGCATTGGGCGAGTGTTTCATTAATATTCTGATAGTTTTGAGGCATTTGAATATTTTCGATAGGTTCAGTCTTCACTTTTTTCTTTAAATTGTAATTTCTAGATCTTATTTCTTCTAAACTGTATTCTTGTTCATTAACATAGACCTAAATTACATAATATAAATGGTAATTATATATGATACACATATGATGAGTAGATATTATTAGGTTAATTTTTAAATTACATATATGGCTAAAGCCACGTATTTTGATATGTGACCAATAGAAATAGACTTTAAGACACTAGACGTTCAGGCGCGAGACTGGGGATCGATTGTAAAATTTAATACATGCATCAAATATAACTAAAGTAACAAATATACCACAATTTATAATTATGGTTGCTTACCTGAGTTTTGTTATAACAAGGTATTTTAGTTGGGTCCGGAGGATCAGGTACACATAGAGTCACAGTGAATGACAAGTCATCCAAACAATAAGGCAAATGGTTCGGTGGAAGTCTTAAATTGTCGTCTTGATCTTCATAGGCTAAAAGAATTTATACATAATAGACCTTAAGTATGTAACTAAGTAATATAAGATAGACATGTCATTGTTTTTTTTTTATAAAAACAACAAGTACACCCAGAGCTTGTCAGATTACTAAGAGTATGTGAACAACACTCTTAAAACCATTGCACAACTTTTATGCACAGTACATACGACTTATTGTTGTCGAAAAGTTCGTTTTTACTAAATTACGTTTTTTTTCCTCTGGCTTTTGATTGAGTTATTATATTTTCTGGAAAGTTTTTTGGCACCAAAATTCAGAGAGATAGAATGATTGACTAATTTGTTATTAGATAAGATTTTTTAATTGTAAAAGAATAAACTTCAACTACTTACGCGTGAATGGTAGAGGCTGGTGTGGGACGACGTTTGAGTGCACCATTTTGGTCTTTGGATTAGTCCAAATACCAACTTCTTTTTGATTTTCTACATTACTGCAAGCTTGAACTAAAGAAGCAGGACCTGGATCTTCTCCGACAGGGATAGCTGCTTGAGACGTCGATGGAGCATCCTAAGTAGTTATAGAACTATGTATTAAAATAAGAAATTTATGTCAAAACAGTAATTTTAGCTTATAAGATCTTGTCTGTATACTTGTTGACAAGTGAATGTTATAAAAGAAGAGGTGTCCTTTAGGTTCTTTTAAGTTTTCCCTGCCAGCAATCATTATTGCCATGGCTGCCACAAGCTGGCTGCTGGCGGGTGAGGAGGCGCAGTGGTCTCTTTTTAAGAAGCTCTTATGCGTGAGAAAGAGACCGCTGAGCGTAGAGGAAGTCGCACGCTGTGTACAATTTCAATATCTCAGTTCAATATTTGAAAAATCATTTTTTTTAGACTTGAGTTTAGATTATACTAAAATATCAACTTTATGCAGTCAGTAGTTTAATGGATATACCGTTTCAAAATTATTTCGAAAGTTTTACTCCAGTGAAGCCTCCACCAAAGAACAATAAAGATGAACTATTTAGTTATATTTTTGGAACAAGAGAAGTATCGGAACTGCCTACTACCAACAGGGAGTGTTCAACATGTTATTAACCCCTTTACCATATCAACTTTATGATTTTGGAAAAAATGTTTCCTTGATATTTTTAGGTCCCGAAATCAAAATGAGAAATGGCTTGATCAAGTAGTAATGGTAACCTCTGGCGGGCATGAAAGTGCATCGTCTACGTCTAGAGAAGCAGGACGATCAAAAAAGGGTTTTTGTTCCCTATCCGCTAATACTAAACGCAGAAGGTTAATAAATAAAGAGGTAAAACCCAAAATTAAAGCAGAACTGTGTCTTACTGCTTCGATGACATGAAATGAGTTAAGCTCGTGTGGCCGACAGGCGGGTTTAAGACTACTGGAGCCGTCTGCCCGCAGGAGAGGGCCTGGCTAGTCCCTGCGTCGATCTAGGGGAGGGACCTAAAATCACATGTCCCAGATCCCCCACAGAATAGGGAGCCTACGACCGGTCGTCGAGGTGGTTTTTTATAGAAAACACCACATACTGGTTCTGCGTTTCCAATAAGTCGGATATCAAAAGGGATTTTATAACCTATAAAGAAGTTGTTTTACGATTAGTTTAGTTCCAATTTTAATAGGGATTTTTATTTATCTATTTATACATCCTGTACATTTGTGCCATGTGCAGACTTAATACTTAAGGCACTCTCTACCAGTCAACAATTGGGTGATGTAGAGAAATTAATAGAGATTTTTATGGTTCTAAGCAAATCAAACACATACTAAACTTTGTTTTTTTTTATCACAGTGTTATTTCTCTCATAAAGTGATACAGACAACAATATTGTCTCAATAGTTACAAGCTACTCGTTTCATGAATGTCAGTGAGAGCAGAATATCATTTTGAATTGATATATTAAATACGATTTTAGATAACCAATAAAAAACTATTAATATTAATCAGATTGAGAGATTTACATTCAATCTAGTAAAAATGAAAAATATAATCAACTGCACAAACATCACAGTACAATATTGTTACAATTTGTGAAATCCTTTAATATTTTTATAGGTGCAGTGAAGGGTGATTGACTAAACTTTTAAAGATTTATATTATACATTTAGCAAAATTAAGAACTGATTATATAATTTTTACTTTATTTTTTTCAAAGCATGGACATTATTCATTGAAGTGTGACATAAAATATGCCAGTTCTTTTATCAGTGGAAAGTTATTTTAAAATTAAGAACAATGAATAAGCATTATAACTAGTAAACATTATAATAATATTATAATTATAAACAAAATCTTTCAAAGTTAAAATATTAATATTCCATAAGCTGTGTTACAAACAATCACAAAAGAATCAGCTGAACCTGTTTACTATTCTGTATATGTACAGATGTTTTTCTTTTACAAATCACACAATATGAGCTCCATATTTATCTAGAATATTGACTGAAGTGAGAAAAATAAACCTTATTTACTTAGATAAGTTGCTATCATATAATTTATCTAAGAATTTGGTTAAAAAATGCCAATAAAATTTCTTGTTGTACACAAATTCTTCATCAAAACCAAACCACCTTCTCACAACTTACCTCATACACATTGACCATAACATTGGAATTTGGCAACCTGTTATCAAAGTTGCCTGTCTGTTGCTGTTGCCTCACCACACCAGGGATAGTACTCCTGATACTATCACCAACTCTCTGTATTGGTACATTGGCTATGTTCCGTCTTTTAAATGATTTCAATGATGTCAAAGCCATTCTTGTTTCAGCTAATGCAGAAGCTGCTTTTCTTTTGGTTGGTGAGTCATCATGTAGCATTCTTTGAGCAAAAAATAATTGGAAGTTCCTAAAAATATAGCTATTGTAAGTAAATTAAAAATGGTGATCAATTCTGCATTAGTCCTTTGAAGCCTATCAATACCTGTGTATATTACATAATGAGTCATTGTTTTTTAATTTGTAAATAAAAAATGTCTGAACTAACATTATATTCCTGCTAAATATATTATTAGAATGTGAAAAAAATATTTTGAAACAGCAGAATAGAAAACAAGTTACTATTTTTCTAAAACTAATCTTTGTTCCAATACCCAATCATCATATTTATACAATGTCATCAATAAGAGTAGTAAATTAACAGTGAACTGGTCTTAATAATTATGAATATTGTGATTAACATAATTGCATAAGAGGTTATGTACTTTCATAAAAACAGATTGTCATAACTACATATTCTGTGTAAAATAAAGGTTTAAGCTGTCATAAGAGGGCCCAAGACATGTAACAATGTTTTATATAAAACCAATATATGAAAATTGATATTAGTTATCAAAGGTCATTTTTCAAATACCTACTCTCATAATTACTGATACTCTACGTGAAAGCCTTGTATAGCATGAGAAATAGGCTCTAAATTTTAATCATCAATTTCTAATGCTAAACAATCCTTTTTCTTTTGAAGTGCAATCAAAGGACAAAAGATTGACATGTTTATTATATATGTACTCACATGTGAGCCTGCTCCAATTCATCTAGAGGTTGGGCCTTAGCTTGAAGACCTAACATGTAGACCTGATTTGCTCTTTTATAGTCACCAGACTCCTCACAGTAACATGCCCAGGCACGATAGAACTCTGAACATTCTACACCAATACCTGTGCTATACAACCTCTGGTATATTTCCAGTGGGTTAGATAAGCAATCAACCTAAAAATTGAATAAAGTTTACAAATTATACCAAGTACTTTATTTTAATCCAATTTTACATAATAGTAATACACTTACTTTTAAGTGCTAGTATATGACGTGATGACGGATTAAGAATACAAAGTGTCACCACCATTATTCATCTAAGGAAGCAAACTATGCAGGACAACAGCACAACAGAGAGAAGGAAAACTTGACACAAACCCTATACCAACCCGTCTGGCCAGCGTGTTATTGTAGGCCCAAACCTCCTTTCTAAGGCTCTCCTCAGAAAGGAGGTTTGGGCCTCCTTCTCTCTGCTGTGCTGTTGTCCTGCATAGTTTGCTCCCTTAGATGAATAGCGGTGGTGACACTTTGTATTCTTAATCTGTCATCACGTCATATACTAGCACTTAAAAGTAAGTGTATTATTATTATGTCCTCCTCTTAATATCAGCCTATGTCCAGCAGTGGACTAGTAAAAGCTGTTGATATAAGACAAACAATATTGTATCAAGATGTTATAGAAATATCAAAATATCAAAAATGAAGTATTAATACATGTGATATTAACAAAAGCAAAGATAATATTTGATATTAAATTTAACATTTATGTAAGTTTCAATAACATTTTATATACATACAGAGAAAATTTCACTCACATATTTAATCCATAATTTTACAAATCTTCTATCTTGATAATATTTTTTCTCATTTTCAAACAACTGTAAGCAGTCTTTTATTAACTTGTCAATATGACCTTCGTGTCCGTGTTTAGGATAAGATTGCTCAACCCATTGGATGTAACTGAACCAAGGATCCAGAGGATCAGTGCCCTGGTAGTGCCTAATAGCTGCTTCATGTTCCCTAAAGCAGAAATAAAATAAAAGACTAACACTTAACAAAAAGGTATTTGACGGCTAAATGTTAAGAAACATGTCTTTTATCAACAAATATCCCTAAAAACAAGTACTTGGGAAAATTTACGATGTTAGCATTGAAGCTGTAAGGCCTACAAGTATGCAACTAGAATATCAGCTGAAAAGCACTACGACAATACTAGTTATTAAAAAACATTACTCTTTCTGCGTCTGCAGCTGCCTCTGGGCCTCCACATCCGATTGAGCTTGCAATGCTGTACCGAGCTGTACAAGGTTTCTACCACCTCTTAATGGTTGAATATTTTCCTTACTAACGTCGATGTCCATCGTAGAACTATATAAGTGCTGAAATATCACGGCATGAGGGATAAACACAGCACTCTGAACCACAAATAAGTGATGGCAGAAAATTAAGTCTTCTGCATAACTAAAGAATTATAATGAATGTACCGTGTAAATGTTCTAAGTAAACTTAATTTAGGAACATATAAACATTGTACATCAAGCAATTGCACGTTAATCAAACTTTTAGGCTTTGAAAATCCGAAAAAAAATTGGCGACAACCAACTGAAGCACCAAAAACTAGCCTGAAATTGACAATACTCTATAAAGTTAAATGCTCTATGACCAGATTTGAAATTTCTCAAAATAAGTCCGTTACGTAGTTATCTAAGCGACTAAGGATGCGTAGGACCAAAGGAGTAAACATGTTTTTGTAAGTTCAGCGATAATATTGAAATAGCTACTAAAAAACGTCTGTAACAGCTCTGATATTTTTTTATCCCAGCATTAGGTTTCAAAACGGTTTTTTCATTTTTTTAAGTTTTTGAAAATTATTGTTTTTCTTAGTCTATATTTCACATCACATCAACAGCCTTAAATAGTCCACTGCTGGACATAGGCCTCTCCTTAGAAAGGAGGTTTTGGCCTACTATACTGGCCAAAACCTTGGTTGGTATAGGGTTTGTGTCAAGTTTTCCTTCTTTTTCCAGTGCTGGTGTCCTGCGTTGTTTTGCACCCTTAGTCGGCTTTTACGACACCCACGGGATGAATTGGGGTAGTGACACTCCGTATTCTTAATCCGTCACTACACGGACAATAGTGTCTATATTTATTTATTTCAAACTTCATGTACTTTTGTTCATCAGCGGACTTAATGCCCAAGGCATTCTCTTCCAGTCAATCTTTGGGTGGTGTAGAAATCATATAAGGTAGGTGCACAGAGATTACCTATTATGACATGTAATATATAAAAATATACACGGTTCACTGCATACATATACATACACATATACACATATACAACACATCACATCATACACCTACATATATAAATATATATGTAGGTGTATGATGGATATTTATAAATATATAAATATATTTATAAATATACATGTTATATTTGTACACTATGTATACCGGAATATGAGGTGTACTATGGACTGGGTAGTTCTGCCATTTTATTAAGAAGGACATCATGCACCTTCTTTTTGAAAAAAAAAACGGTTAGTCGACATCCTGATTTCGAGCGGGAGCGCATTCAAGAGTAGTACTGCTTGAACAAAGAACGAAGAGTTCACGAAGTTGGAGTTGTGGGCAGCAGTATGTGTGTGTGTGTCAATCTAGATACTTTAAGGGGTTTTTATTGCTATAATTTCTGAAAGATTTTACTATGAAATACAATATCCAAAACCTACCCATTTTTAAGAAATTGGGCTTGTTACTTTTTTTTTTAAATTGCCGTACTTCACCTAATATAATTATTTTTGTACAATTATTTTCTTTTTTTACTGTTTTTGTGTATTTAATATATTGTTATATAATTTCCATTACTCATTCATCAAAGGGTTTTCTATGAATATTGAGACTATCCTAGACTATTACCTTTTTCAGAAGTCTTCAGAAGTTATTCAGAAGTCAGTCATATTTGTTGAGGAGGTCTGCATTTGATTATAATATCACTAACCAAGTTCTTAAATGTGCTAAGTGATTTAGCATGTGGCACATTTGTGCAGTGCCAAGGTATTTTCAAGAGTTGTTTTGCCGGTGTGAGCCTACATAAAATGTAAAAAAAAAAAAGGGTAATTTCAATCATTTTTTTTATTTAAATAAAGATATTCTGAGTTTAATGACCTCAAAAGTCTTTCATGTGTATCACTTAGGAACTCGAAACGTTCTTTGAGATATACGTTGTAGGATTTAAAAGAATATTAGAAAGTAGAGCAAAAGTGTGAGCAAAGCGGTGAAGCCGTATAGGGGAACCGAAAACCGTAGCCTCTTAAATATTAATACTATAGTATCAATATCTCATCTATGTCACAAATATAGTTCAAAGAAAATTCAACATAGCCAAACTAATATCCAAATTGATCATTATTTTAAAATAAATTATTTTGCTTATGGTCTTTTTTTTCAGAATAACAACATTTTAGTTCTAATCTCTGACTAGCATAAAGTTATCTGTGGTTCTAGTTCACCAGCTGTCAATGTCACGCTGACATCTGAAGTCAACTGTTGACTGTTTATGTGGTACCTATTTACGAATAAATTCAAGCATAAGGGGCTTGTAGATATTTATGTGTTTTATTTGAATTGTTATAAATCTTTCTTATCTAATTAAATGCATTTAAGATCTCTTTTGGTCTTTACACTGTGCAGTAAACAGTAATCGAGTAAAGAAGTTTACACACCGATTGACCCTACAATTCATTATTTTTATGTTTATTTTATCCCACAATGGCTCTCCGAATTCCAAAAAAGCAAAAGGCGCAAGAAGAAATGCGCCGATTGATGGCTGAGCGAAAAAAGAAAAATTTGGCACCAACTAAAATAGATAACCCTCTTGCAAAATACAACAGTAGTGGGCAGTTAATGTGCATACTTTGTAGTTCAATAGTACGGTCGGAGCAAGTGTGGCCAGTACACATAAACAGTAAACAACACAGAGAAAATGTCGAGAAAGCCAAGAAGTTAAAAGAATTAACTAACAACTTTACAGTTGGAAAGATCAAACACAAAAGTACTAGTCTTCCAGAAAGTGCTCCTCCTGAAAAAAAAATAAAAGGAATATTAAAAAACGCTAGTGTTGTTCCTTTGGTTGTCCAAGCCCCTAAAAATAATGCACCACAAGTAATTTCATACCATAATGAGGAAATTAAAAGGACACCTTTAAATATTGGTGTTATTGTAAAAAAAGAAGGTACATATAGCTTAATCTGTATGAAAAGATTCATTATTTAAATCTTGAGATGTTATTTATTGATGTTATTGTTCTTGGATGTAATTTATCTAAAATGTATGTATTATAATAAGTGAAATATTTAGGTGTATTTATCAGTAGTCTGGTTACCACAGTTTAGGCCCTGCCTAGTTTGGGATCACACTGCCATGTCTAAGAAGTGTGAAGTTATTATTATTATTAAAATTTAAAAGCTTCTAGTCTTTGAGATTTCTAAATATTAGTATTCCTTTGCAACAGAATATATACTGAAATTATATATATTGTTCCAGTAATACAACCTACAGCTTCTGATGCTACGGACATAGTAGTACCAACATCTGAACAGCCCATACCTGAGGGGTTCTTCGATGATCCTATCTTAGATGCTAAGGTAAGCCATCATTGTATCATATAAGGTGTGGCCATTACGTGTCATATTGAAATAATACTAAAATCTTTAGGGTGTATAATTATATTTACGGGAATTAACATGAAATGATAGGTATTCTTCATTCTTACATATTATCTTTTAATTGACTGATGTTTCAACCAGGTTGCACTGTGATTGTTTTCTTCAACAGTCCCAGCAGATTGAATCTTTTGTCTAACAATGAATTAGGCTAGGGAAAGTTATCCCTTTCCCTTATACATTCCTAAAAACATAGCCTATTGAATAAAAAGCGAAATTAAAATTAATGAAAAATCCCTTGACAGTAAAAATGTAATTGAAAAAGGATAAAATAATAACCCTCGACATAACCAGATTATGTAACGAAAGATAGCAAACTTATAAAACTTTTTATAATAGAGTTGATCTATAGTAAAATCAGTCATGGACACAATGGAGTATCAGTTTTCATAGGCTATACCATAAAAATAAAATAAGACAACATTTTATAAATCTGTAAAGTTTTCTGTAACTAAGTTGCAATTAACTTAAGTTACCCATATATACTAAGTAACCATCTATTTTTCTGTCCATTCTATTTTTTCTAGCAAACACTAACTTTTTTACACTCAAAAAGGTAACATTCTTTTAAAGTTATCACAATAATTTAATCGCCTCTCTGCAGGGTAAATACGGTCAATTTGAAAATATCCGCTATCTGTGAATCTACCAACTGAAAACACATAGCTATAAAATGCTGACGGTACTAAAAACGCGAATATGAGTTGTATGACCAGATAGAACATACCAATTTCCAGCAAAATCATTTCAAAGCTTTTGTGGGGCTATTCCGTCAATTATTTACACATTAGGGTTGGGATGTAAGGTTGATAAATTGTACCTATGTTTAATAACTCAAAAATGAAGCAATTTCGTTACTGGTGCATTTATAGTGTTTTCTATGGCCAAATAAATAAATTAAATAAAAGCATTTCCTTTGTAAATAAAATGACTAATCAACAGTCTATCAGCAAGAAGTAATAAATTAGTCTCAAATAGGTAAGTTAATAACTTTTTAAAGGAATTATATAGGAAATTCCATAACCTCGATTTTACATGGAAATGTATAATACTTGTCTTCAATTTGAGGATCTGGAAGATAGTGAAGAATATCTTCAAAATCAGTTATTGAATAGTCATTTTTAACAACACGAAAACATTTATTCTATTTGTTTTTGGACTTCAACCCCTATACGACAATTTTATCGTCATCAAACAAACATACTAATATGTTCATTTTCCTTTAGTCAAGTCAAATTTAAACAACACAAATTTTCCTTTTGAGGATATTTTCTATTACTAGAATTAATATTTTAATCATTCTTGCATGTGCTAGCTTCAGCATCTCTCTCTCTCTCTATTGTCATATAATGTCTCTGTATTCTTTTGTCCATATTTGCTTTTTCTATAATTACTATTTGTAACGTTCTTGGATGTGCTAGCTTCAGCATCTCTCTTTCTCTTTGTCGTCATTTAATATATCTGTATTTTCTTTTTTTAGAAATATTATTCCTATCGTTTTTGGATGTCCTAGCTACAATATCTCACTGTCTGTCCCCATCTAATATCTCCGTCTTCTTTTGTGCATATTTTATTTTTCTAGCATTCATCTTCAGAATGTATGTACTCATCTGAGTCACCGTTTCTCAAAATAATAAATAAAAATGTTTTTGTCCTCACCTTCGGAGCCATTAATAGATTTATAGGCATCCATATTAAGCCATTTATTTAATCTTTGTTGTGACACAGCCATGGGCGTAGCCACGGTGGGGCTCTGACCTGAAGGTACCTAAGCAAACCTAAAAAATTAAATGATCTAGGTACTAACTTGGCATACGCCCAGAGCCCAAACGGCTGAAGTTAGAGACACATTTTTGGATGGAAGATTTCGTGGTGTAGGTAGGTGAGCAATAAGAAAGTGTTTTGGATAAATCGAATTATACATACGAGAACAGATACAGGGTGCTATAGGGTGTAACCTTTTTGTATGAAAAAATAAACCTAGGTACGACCGCGGGTATAGTTTGCTAGTTACATATTATTTTAGACACCATGGACACAGCTGTCTTTCCAAATCCTCTGAAAAAGGCGATCATCCATCCTATCTTCAAGGGTAGTAGTGGTGACGGGATCCTACCGAACAACTATCGCCCCATTGCAGTTTTGAGTGCATTATCAAAAAATTTCGAATGCTTGATAAATTAAAGACTAGTAGGCTACCTAGATCGGTAATCTAATATCATCTAACCAATGTGGTTTTCGCAAGAGGAAATCAACTTCTGACGCTATTCATGAGCTTACAAACTTCATCGTTCAAAGTATCAATCAAAACAAAAAGGTTCTACGCATATTTTTAGACCTCGCGAAAGCGTTCGATACAGTTTCCATTATCACAATCTTATCCAAACTTGAACAGATAGGTGTCCGAGGTGCACAACTACAGCTATTTGAGAGTTATCTAAGAAATCATTCGCAAATAGTGAAAATTGATGGCTATTATAGTGAGGAACTACCCATCCATTATGGAGTACCACAAGGTAGCATACTTGACCCTATGTTAATCCTCGTATTTATAAACGACCTCTGTAAGCTGAAAATTCCTAATGCAAGACCGTGTGCTAAGCACTAACCTTTGTCGGAGATGCATGGTCAGACCTGATGCGCAAGAGAGATGCCTAGCAGTCGCAGATGCCTAATGTGAAAAGTACTCGATGTCTCTGTTTCAATCCATTCAGTTTCTTTATTATGGGAAACAGAGTTTAGCCATATATCGGACCATAACTTATGGAGTTCTTCTAAAAGTGAGCAGATAGTGATGTTGTCTGAAGTTGTTTGGTTTGTAGTTGCTTTACTTAAGGTTCGATATTCGTTCATGTAACTGTTTTTTTTCGTCTTTCGGAGTGTACATTTTGTATATCTGCTTAATCTACTTTTAACTACTGTTAGTTTTTGCTTAAGTGTCTAAAATGTGTAATAATTGTGAGTAAGGTTCTTCGAGAATTGAGTGTATCTTATATTTATCTAGTATTTACTTTCGCGATAAGATTTTTGTTTCTTTTTCCATTTGTGTATTGTGTGAGTCTTCTTATTTGCGATCTTGATTCTAATGAATTTTATGTTTAAAGCTTACATTGTAACCTATTTTGCCATTTGGGTTTATTATCTCTTTGATGCTTGTTAATCGTACCTAGTATAATACTGTTTCAAGTAGGTATAATAAAATCAGTGTCACAGTTCACCTTTTGAGGTAACAAAATATTATTAATGTAAATTATTGTGTATGCAAGGGTTTGGACGTTTTTGTCTAGGTATGTAGGGTCTCTTTGTGGGGTGAATGTTTGGAAAATGTTGGAAAGGTTGTGTGAATGTATCTTCTATATCATGATTTTGATCTGGGCATATATCAATTTCGGGATTTTTATGGTGCGTGTTAGTGAGAGCAGAGTTTTCTAAACCTGAGTCCGTGGAGGGAAGTGGTAACTATATGTCTGATTCCGGAGTTTCTAAACAAGATTTGTTGGCGTTATCTATTTTAGAACTGGGTACTCTCTGCCGTTCTTCGCTTTTTCGTTACATATTTCGGCTAATCTTTTTATGATCGCTCGCCTCTGATCAGCTAATTGTTGCTCTGTTACATTCCCTAGATGAGGGAATAAAATAATAAACTATTCGTGTAAGTGTATTCTATATAAACCCTATATAGAACACACTATTGGTTTTTAAATGAGTGATTTTGAGAAATATTCTAATAATAGCTTCGTTATATTATTTTCTTAAGTCCATTTTAGGCGTTGATTTTGGCTGTTTGATAAGTAGTGGATAAATTTGTAAAGTGTGTTCAATAATGTGGGTTTGTGTGGATTCTAAGTCAGCTTTAACCTGCTCATGTATGCTATTTATTATTTCTTATGGTAATAACTTATTATGTACAATTGCTCTACGTTGGTCTCCAATTCTTTGTTTACTCACTTGGATAAATTTGTAAAGTGTGTTTAATAGTGTGCGTTTGTGCTGATTCTAAGTCAGCTTTAACCTGCTCATGTATGATATTTATTATTTCTTATGGTAATAACTTATTATGTACAATTGCTCTACGTTGGTCTCCAATTCTTTGTTTACTCACTTGGATTAAGGAAAATTTTTCTATAAACTTTGTGTGTAGTGACGTCAGATATGCATAGGTGTTTGTTTCTAAATTGGTTAAGCAAAGGTAAGTACGCAGAATAAATATATTCATTTCAGCTGTCCATTTCCTGCGTGTTCTTAATGAGCTGGTAGTGGGCACAAGATCATTAATTAAATTCGTCTCCTGTGCAACATTCACCAACTGTTCAGTTACTTGAAGTTGTCGATTCTATAGTGCTAAATAAACATTGAAAATTAGGAGTGGAAGGTAGTGAAGGGAATAGCTTTGAATTTGAACCTTCTGTATAAAATGAATCACTTAAGGCCACATCATCATCATTTTGTGTTCTGCGTGGAGTTTTTCTTCCAGCGAATCCCGAGTATGGAATCCCGGGGTTCTGAGTGTTATGTTCCATTTAATTCCCACGAGAAGCTAGACATTCAAAGCTCCACCGTGGCAGAGCTCTGTGCGTTCAACACTGTAAGGGTACATTAAAACTGAAGGTCCCTGTTTTCAGAGTTCGCATACTAATGGCTGAGTTCCCCTTAGCCACGCAGTTCTTGGCGTATGCTGCTTCACCTTAGCTTGAGTGACTCCTACCTACTTACCCACTAGAGCCATGTTAGCCGCGCAGGTATTTATTATTATTACGAGGGCTGCTACCTATTTATGTATTCGGAACTGGCCAGTTACAGAACAAAAGTAATTATAACATTAAAAAATGGAACGCTTTGGCTGAAGAATACAATTTGTTTCATGTAGCTGTCATTTTTTGTCCTTTGCGGCGTCATTTTGAAAATTGCGTGTCTCTATCACTATGGATTTAACTCGTGAAATTTTTTATGATTTGTTACGGTTTTAGGCGAGTTCTATCGCAAAAACAGTACATCGATCAACTCACTTCTCATCGATCAACAGACTTTTGGATCGTTCCCAAAAGTCCATTGTTTGCACCATTGATGAATCTTGGATACATATACGAGTATGATCCTGAAAGTAAACAACAATCAACGGTTCACCTAGGAACACCCAGTTCCAAGTTGAGCCGAATCCAACACAACTCATTCGTTCATAAAGCACTTTAAAGGAAATGTTCGCTTGTTTTTTTGGTATAAATGGACATGTGGCTAGTGTCACTAGAGGATCGTAAAACGGTTATTCCCATCAATCGTCAAAGTTTTTCTATCCGCGAAGAGGCTGTTGGTGCGTTCAAAATGCACGAATGGAAAAAGTGCTACGAAAATTGGTACCAACGTATGCAAAAGTGCATCGATCAACACGGCGAATATTTTGAAAAGCAAAACTATAATAAATGCTATATGTTTGTTTTACTTTGTTATGCCGGATACATAATAAAATAGAAAACATAATAAAATAAATAGAACACACTTGTTCTCTGTAACTTTTATTGAAAAAATATCTATGCATGTTATCCCTTAATGTATATTGCTAGTAAACACTTTAAAGGCAACTTAACCAATATTTATATATATTCCATCTGTATATATTTCCATAATATGATATAAATACTTTAATATTCTCATATTATCCTATAACTGTTATTGCCCAAACAGCTCTTCAAAAGATTCATGAATGTAGTCAATCATGTCAGTGGCTAACATGCTACGACCCTTTACTTTGAATGCTTTTTTGTTACACTTTCTTATTAAACTACATGCAGCATAACATGAAATTGATGCAGCTACAAGGCATTTTTCTCCACATGTATCCAAGTCTATTTTATTTTGATTAGCTAATGTCCAGTTAAGAAATGTACTAATAGAACCAGCCAGCAAGTCACCCTGCCCCCCACATCTCCTGCCTGAACCATCTAAATTCAATTGCCATTTTAAATTATTGTCGGGACTCAATAATTCATCTATCTCTCCTTTTTTAAGAACAGTTACAAATTTACCAAGGTTGTTTACACCTTCCCCAGGTGGGCTCCCAAGCTTTTTCCAAAGTCTTTCAAACTCCATTTTATTAGGTGTTAATATTACTGGAGACATAAAATCTTTTAGCAAGTGTGGTTTTTCAGTAATTAAGAATAACCCATCAGCATCAACTACTAGCGGTATTCTTTTTTCTCTTATTATCTCAATCAATTCAGAGACCACTGAAAATGTTTCTTTTTGTCTTCCGAGTCCTGGGCCTATAACAATAACATGTAGTCTCTCAAACCATTGTGATATTTCTTCTATTGCATTTGGCCAGTCTAACAATGGATGGACTATTAATTCTGGACTATAAGATTTAATGACAGTGGCTGCACTTTTAGCACAGAATATATGAACCAAATCTGCACCAACCTGTAGAAATAATGCATGGAAATTAATAAAAATACTTATTTCAAAACTAGGTTACTTTTATAAATGCTTACTAACTCTTAGAGCACTAATTCCCGCAAAGTAAGGAGCACCTGTGTATTCTAATGAACCACCAATTATACCTATTCTGCCAGATTGACCTTTATGACTGTTGTTATCCAAGCTGGGAATACAAGATTTAACATTCCTTAAAATACTGTCTGTGGTCATTTTACTCTTTGAGCTAGTTGATCTGTAACAAATTCTAGAAAGTTTGATTATTTTAGTCGGTAAAACAGCTGTCATGTACATTTAATGAAATATTACTTCTTTTGCAGTGTAAGGTTTAAGGTTTAGTTGTTAAAATAGTAAACATTGATCAGCAGCAGTATTGCCGCTTAGATGTATATAAACTACCATCCAGGTCATTAAAATGTACTAAAAATTTTAATAAAATAATAAAATGTATTGTACAAAAAGAAAATAGTAGGCTTTTAAATCATGCTTTGCTATGCTTCGCCACATATCGCCATATATAGATTAAAAATAGACTTACTAAGCGCCGTGGATGAAGTGGATATATAGTCTAAGATACAGGACTCCAGGAGGCTTGTAAGTTTATTTTGAATACTCTCAGGCATGAGATTGTATTTAGCTTCTTGTGGAGCCTAAATAATCGCCTGCCGATTGCTGCCTGAGAAATAAGATCAGAAAAAGTACTTGTGTAAGAAAAAAAATATGTGAGAAGTGTAATGCAGCCTTAGTGAAGCATGTATTAGGTATATTATTTATTATGTTATATGTAATACCTATAAAACAACAGACACCTAAGTCCTGAAATTGCGTGGTCAAAATGCCAGCATAGACAAAACATTATTTGAATTGGAATCATGCTATTAACGCTAAACTAGATTTACAGATTGCTATGCAAGCATACAAACAAAATGAATCTTAACTTTTTGGATTATATTTTATAATGTTACTTGTAAGTTACATTTTTTTGCTTAATGAATGTAATTCTCAGGTTCGAAATATCGAATACAAAGATCCGGTTGAAGAAGAATGGGAAAAATTTCAAAAAGAGATAAAAGAGGAGGCTACCGCATCTGCAGAAATAATTGCTGGTGAACAAGAAGAGGCAACGGCCGAACGACAAATCGAGGAAATTGATGAACAAATAAGAATTTGGTCCAAGTTAGTGTGAAACGCCTTATATTCAGCTCCTAAATAACCTAAATAATATGACTATTAATATTTGTTAAGCTTAAGAAACATGCAAAACGTAGACGATTAGAACATAATAAAAAAGGCACTTGTATGACACTTTCCCAATCAAACATTTTCAGAAAATCATGTGACTTGTGTGGAAGTATGTCTCGTTGGCCTTTAATATTTAGTTTGTTTTTTTAATTAAGATTTGCAAGAACGTTGAAAAACGTTTGCGTAACGACTTCTTAACAGTAATTTGTTTGGAGCCTGGTCGTTGGTTGTTTGTAGATTGTAGGTAAATAGTTTTATTTAACGAAACTGTTTAAAGCACTAGCTCTGTTTATTTTTATTACCGACATCCTTATGTGATACGGCTAACCGACCCGGGCCTTTTCAAGCTACTGAAGTTTTCCATCCGAGACATGCAGTATCCTTCACCTTAGCTCCCTCGTTTTTCTTACCACAGTTTACAATCTTCCTTTGTTCTACGTCAGGAAACAAATTGCCATGGAGCCGTAAAAGAAACCAGAAAAATCACCATGTTACACTCCGCGGACTCCAAATAAAATTAGGAAAAAAGGAAGATTGTGAATACAGTTTAAGATATCAAGTATTTCAAACGATCTCTAATCCAAAGCCCTAAGGCATCTCAATTCGTTTCAGTCATTTAGCTTTAGATTATTTTGATCTGTGTGGAAATTAGGTATACAGTAACATTTTATGGAAAGTAACTTTTGAATCATTCCAGAGTATTGGACTTTGAATTAAAAAAAGAAGAAACTAAAAAAAGCAAACAAGACACAGAGCAAATGAGTGAAGACGAAGAAGGTGAATCAGAAAATGACGACGATATTCATGAGTTTTTGGATTGGCGAGCAAAAAAATCATATTCTTAACTATTACTGTTTTATAATAAAATATTTACTAACACAATAAATTATATTTTTTTATGAGTCTTAATATATTTCTGTTTGTGCTACAATGAAAACTAGTTTAATAGTACATACAGAGTAGGTATACAGTTTGCACACATTTATATCACTAGCGATCCGCCCCGGCTTCGTGCAATGTACATACGACTAATGTGTTGTCACTAACTATACTATTATTATGATAGACTATCTAGAGGACATCTTTATATCGTGTCACCGACACCGGCTTGGCCACCATCAAAGATTATTTGTTACTGGTTCAAAAGTTATAAAGGTTTATAGGTGGCCGACCTGGGGTCAGTCTCTCCAGCTTGGCCACACATATCTCAAAAACTAGAGTACCTAGCGAAGACCTGTTTACTTCCAAAGTCGCTAATTAGTCACAATTTTTCGAACACTTTTTTTGTCACATATTTAGTCAGGTCTTAGTTTAGAAGATAAAATGAGTTCAATTTTGAGGTAGGTATAGTCTAAGAGCTAGATTGAAGAGTTTATGAAAAATTGCCTTGAAAAATATATTTCTATAAGTATGCACGTGTAATGTACTTCTAGTTTTATCGGTTTAAAGTCCCCCGAAATGTCTGAGATAAGTAAATTCTAAATTAAATACAATATGTTTTAAATCACTAGGTTAGAGGAACTTAAACTTCTTTGAAAACATTAAACCTAGCTCTTGGTCTGGGGTCAAGATGTACAGTCGCATACACCTTTTACCTATTACAATGTTAGCCACTAAGTTACGTCACAATAATAAAACCGAACCTGTTGCCGAAGTAATTCAGAACATTCTACCGAATATCTATTAATTATTATTTTATATTCTTCATCATCCTATCGCAGTCCACTGCTGGACATAGGCCTCGCCCATTCACGCCACTTAGATCGATTTTCGGCTTCCCCCATCCAGCTCCTGTTAGCCATCTTGCGCAAATCGTCACTCCTAGACGCGGTCTCCACTCAAGAAATCGTTTACCTCGATACCGTTACCGGTAGGATGCACTCATTGAAGACTTTCGTCTTTAGGCACTGTGGGATCGATGATGTGAAGATTCGACGTAGCTTCCCAAACGCTGCCCAGCACAACTGAATTGTTTTATTCACCTCGTTTTCGAAGTTGTTTCTACCTAACCACTCCCGTCTACCCGAGATACACATATTTTTGAACAACTTCGAGAGTTTCACCATGTACCGCAATCGGTTCCGGTAGTACATGTTCATTAAACATGACCTTAGTTTTATCCAAGTTTATCCGTAGGCCGATGCGTATAGAAGAGTCAGCTAGGTCATTCAGCATCTGTTGTAGGTCCTGCAGCGTAATCGCAGGTGAGAGATGTATCGGGGCACGCCGCTGTAGCGGCGGTAAGGCCCGTTCTAGAGGAGTGGCTCAATAGGAGCCACGGCGCCCTCGGCTTCCGGCTGACGCAGGTGGTTACCGGACACGAGTGTTTCGGGAAATACCTGTGTCGCATAGGCCGGGAGCCGACGTCCCTGTGCCACCATTGTGGTGATTGCCGCGACGATACGGTGCTGCATACGTTGGCGGAGTGCCCAGCTTGGGCCGAGCAACGCCGTGACTTGGTCGCGGCCGTAGGTGCTGCGAGGAACCTATCGCTTCCGGCTGTTGTGTCTACCATGGTCGGGAGCGAGTCAGGGTGGAGTGCCGTCGCCACCTTCTGCTAGGCCGTGATGCTCGCGAAGGAGGCGGCGGAAAGGGAGAGAGGCTGCTTCCTCTCTCCCCTCCCGCAGCAGATGTACTGGGCGTCGTAGGATGGCCAGCTACCGGCCACCGTAGCGCGCGGCCTGCGGACGGCAGACCCGGGGCGTCTTGTCGTCCGACCAGCGGCAGGCCTAGAGGCGGCGGCGTCGTGTTCCGCGCGCGCCTCATAGTGGAGTCCTACGGCCGGGTGACGGCCGCAGTGGGTGACGGAGCCCGCCTGACCATCTGGCGGGCCAATACCCGCCCCTTCGACACACGGGTACATGAGGAACACGGGTTGGTTTTCTAGTCAGTAAGAGTTTGACAGTCCCCTTCGTCTTTCCCGGAGGGCGGAGAGACTCCATGAGAACCTTTTCAACCCGATACCAAAAAAAAAAGGTGAGAGATGTATTCGTATGTAGTCTTGAACATGTCCTCCATTGCATTCGTAAACAATTTCGGGTAAATAAGTCCCCTTGTCTCACTTTTTGATGCAACGGTATGGGCCTTGTTTACTGATGCTGTACTTGGACAGGCATGGTTGCAGCGTCGTAGACACATCTTATCATTTAGTACATAAGGTGGCTCGACTCGAGGATTGCGTTGTCCTCCCCCTCTCTTCGGACTTCAGATAACCCTGGGATGTGCCACCTAACCTTCCCTAGTTCCACCTAAAGTTGCGGCAGATGCGAGTCTACCGTAGCTTGTGTCCGATTGCTGACTAAGAAGTTGACTTCTTATCCACCAATCTTTAGTTAGGGATGACAAGTCATGACAGGAAAGGGATTCTGAAGACACGAATTTTGCTCCAACGGAAGAAAATACTACCAATTTAATCGTACTTTTACATACTAGACTTGGTCTCTATTTTTTAAACGGCAACACTGGCAGAATGACAGTCCAGTTTTGTAAGTAATGACTAATGACAATTGACATGTCAATTGAAACCGGGTAAATAAATAGAAGTTTCAATTGTTTCTAAAAATAATATCAATTCTGTATCACAAGTTTTTATTGCTAAGCACCCTCTAATAGTATTACTGTACTCTGTGCCAAGAACGGCTGCTTAAACTATTTGAATAAAATGTCTAATCAAGGTTCAGAACAAATTCGGCAGTTTATTGCTAAATTGGAGCGAGATGAACAACGGCAGGCTGCCTTGAACGATATTAAAAACCTTATAGCATTTAAACCAGCTAATGAAGCTATCGCTGCAATAAGAGATGTCGGAATATCACAAATTGTCCAATGTCTTAATGTAGCAGATAAGTATGTGTGCCTTTAACACACAAGTGTTAAAAAAATATATACCAATTGTTCTAAAAGAAAATATTTCTAACCGTAGATCTCACGTTGATTTAACCTGCGATGTGCTGAAAACTTGTTTTGATAAATTTCGTGCTGGAGATGTTATTAAAAATTACATAGGTCACATCATGTACTTACTCCGTCATGATAAAAGTTGTGTACGAAGGATTGCCATTGATGAGGTAAATACATAAATATATTTTTGCATATATAATTTTTAAGGTCCATACTGAATATAAACATATAATTGCATTTCCACAGGGGCACATATTTTAGAAACTTTTTAGTACCCGAGTCATTAAACTAGTAACAGTAATCATGTTCTAAAATAATAAAGCACTGAAAGCAGTGTTATTATTTAAAAGAAAAATAAGTAGCTGTTTTCACTTTAAATGCAACTTATTGATTGGGGTGTCTCTTCATAAATTGAAAACTCCATGCTGGGTTCCAGTCACTAAGATGGTAATATTATGTTTATAAGCTTATTTACTACATGAATGTGGAGTAGTTAATATTATTTTTTGCAGGTATATAAAGCAGTGGGTGCCAGTGCCTTACTCCCTATGTCAGAGTATATGGATGTGTTTGTAGCAACATCTCAGATGGTTTATGATTCTGATGTAGGGGTTGCTAACAGAGCAATATTGATTACATCTAACCTACCACTTGAAGTGTACCCTGCAGTACTAGATGAACTTAAAATGGGTTTACAATATAACACAAGTAGTAAGTGTAATGTATTAGAGGTAAGTCCATTATGAAATTAGGGGGCGTCCATTAATTACATGAGGGGTTTTCGGCGATTTTCTGACCCCCCTCCCCCACTGGTGAGATGTTGTGAGATTTGATTCAACCCCCTCCCCCATGGTGCCCCAATCTCACGTAAGATTTAAAGAAATGTGTTATTAGTGTATAGGCTGGGCGGTGGCGCGTAAACAAACGATGAGCTACTGTGTAATTTTTTGTCACTCTCAATACCAAGATAAATATTATTGTATAAGACTTGGCTATATTTCCGTGGAGGAAAATGTTTTCCTTAATTTAACCCAGTGTTCTCGCAATTTTTACGTGTTTCTTGAGGATGAAATATTACGTAATATTTGCCGAGACCCCCTCTCCTTAAAGTAAGATTAGACCCCCTACCCTCCCTCAACGCCTCACGTAATTAATGGACACCTTATGCTTATACAAATTTATTATCTAGTCAAATGGAACAGGTCAATTTTAAAAAGTATAAAAAAAAAAACAGTTGTTATTTGACAGTGATAGCAGGTAATATATGAGCACAACATTAGCTTGTTTTAGAGTTCCCTATACAGGGTTTTAGTGTAACAATCCTGAAACCGAAGGTAGAACTAATGATACCTTTGATGATGGGTCAGATAAGAAATCAATTCTGATGAAAGAAAAAAATCATGTTACTATGTTTTAAAGCATTATTAAACAACCATTATGTTAATACAGCTAAATGAAATGATAACTTCATAAAATACATGACTACTAAAGAAATATGGCACAATTTTATATTAAAAAAGTTAGTCACACCATCATCATCAGCCTATCTCAGTCCACTGCTGGACATAGGTCTCTCCAATTGCACGTCACTTACATCGATCTTCGGCTTCTCGTATCCAGCTCCTGCTAACCATCTTGCGCAAATCTTCACTCGTACAAATAAATATATCTAAGGGTCATATTACAAAATGATGCTCAAAACTCGAGGAACGAATGAGGTTAGTTTTTGCCTTATAAAACTACGTTTAAGCGTTTCTTGAGTTTTGAGAAACGTTCTGTAATACAGCCTAAGTAATATCTTAATCGAACATAATCTCTTTTATGTGTTACTAATATATAAATAAAACTCAACAAAATGAAGCTCTGTACCTAATAATCGCCTTTGAGATAAAACAATGTTAGTTACGAGTAAAAAGAAAACATATTAAAATTATTTATGCGGCAAACACAGCTAACAAGATGAGTTAATCACGGGAGAGCCAGGCCTCCGCACCTATAGACCAGGCTAGCCCAGAATGATCCCACGGCCGCAAAGAAAACCTGTGTTAAGCGTTCTTTCGTTGCTTTTTCCCTAGTGAGAGACGTTACCAGAGCCCAATCCCTCCCCTTTCCCTTGATTCTGGGGGTAGGGACTGAGATGCCTTCTAAGTTTCCATGGGCGGTGGTAGTCATTTACCATCATTCGACCTGTATGCTTGCCAGTTTTGGCCGAAACTGAAACTAAATTTTGTGACCGAAACTTCGGTCGGTCACTAGAAATTATTGCATCATTTAAATGGCCTGTTGGTCTAGTGGTCAGTAACCCTTAGTGCTCAGCCAGAGGTTGTGTCAGCCATGGGTTTGATTCCCACCCAGGACAAAATATAATTGTGTGATGAGCACGATCATTTGTTCTGTGTCGGCGTGTCATTTATCTTTAATATGTATGAATTTAGAAATTTGATGCTACTGATGTTTGACACTTTCTCTTGACGGGTGTAAGGCTACTATTGCCTATCCTCATCAATCTGTGGTACAGCCAGGATATGTTGCCAGTTTTTTGTTTTACTGTCGATATCTACCTACTTTTTTTTCTAATTTCAGGTTGTGGTTAACATCTCTTGCAAATCTAATGAGCATTTCAAACTGTGCGTTGATAAAAACTACATTGATTTTATGATACAAGAGCTTGAATCAGATGACGTCCTATATAAATTAAATATTTTGGAATTATTATCAAGATTGGTGATCAAACCACAAGGCATTACTTACCTTGTTAAGAATGGAGGTTTAAATACTATTTCAGATTATACAGCATCCTTGAAGGACAATCCTTTAAAAGGCTTATTAATTCCAGGTATTTCAAAATTGTTATTCTACATTACAAATTATAAACTAAATTAACTATCTAGGCTTTGCTAGGTACATTTTTTTATTTTCTTGAGTGGAATCCTAAAGTAAAAGTGGCCTAAGTCACTCCTTGTAACATCAGTTACCTGTCTGTGTAAGTTACATGGATATGAATCCAGAAGTTTCAAGGAATAAGCAAACCCCAGAGACAGTAATTAGTGTAATTTAAGAATTAATGGATTTCTCTCAAAATCCAATATCCATACAAAAAGTGGACATCTCTTTTAACAGAAACATTTAATGTCTCCTATTTTCTCAGGTTATATGAAATTCTTTGGAACTATAGCTCACAATTATCCAAAAGAATTTTTTGAGAAACATCCTGTAATGTTGACTTGCTTATTTGAAGCATTTGAAACAAAAGATTCTAGTGTTTTGCCAGTAGCTCTGGAGACATTAGGATTCATTGGTTCAACAATTGAAGGCAAATTATGCTTAGCTGCTTTGGGTAAGTCTACAAGATAGAGTAAGTGTTGTCCATGTTCATATATGATAAGTACTGAGGACTTGTACATTTCGTACCAGTTATGAGATGCTACTTTTTATATTAAATATCTCAAAATATTATTAAATTGCAGGAAGCAGATATACACAAACTGTGCAAAGTGTTTCGCAGTTAATTAGAGACAGCTCATCTGATATAAAAAAAAGTTCCATCAACTGTTTAGCTGGGCTTATTAGCATAGACAAAGATCCTTCTGTTCCCAAAAGTGGTCCTGTTGATCACAGAGTTACTTTAATGACAAGAGAGTGGTTCAGAACTTTAAATGGACAACCAATGGCAACTTTGATGGAGATGTGTAAAAATGCATTTCCAGATATAAGACATGCTGCTTTTATATTGTTAGATGCTGTTTGTCAACACCAGTGGGGTGAGGAATTAGTAGCTAGAACTGCAGGTAATTATATACTTCTATTGAAAAAATTATATTATGGAATAAACATTATTATTATAATTTAATTTGTAATAAAAAAAAATGTTTTCACACAAATAAAAGTAAAGTAAATGGAAAACAAAAGGGCATTCCTTAGGTGGTAAAGAACTATTGAATCAAAGTAGTATAATCTCATGTTTTTATAAAATGACATTGTGTAATCACTAAATAAACAAGTGTTTATTGTTCATAATGCTTGAAAATTTGTATTGCAGGTTTTGTTGAATTTCTTCTAGACAGATCTATTGTGTATACAAAAGAGACAAATGAAGCAAAATATGACATAATCAAACGGCTAGCAAGATCACCAGCATTCGACATCAACACTATATCAACACTACAAACTTATGTTGAACAAGGTCCATTCTATTCAGAGAGTGTACTGGAAGTGGCTATGGAAGAAGGAGAAAATTGAATTTGTTACCATAAAATTATATTTTATTTGTTGTTTAGTTATTACTAATGTTTAATGTGAGATCTATTTTAGACTGCAATAATAACTATAATGTAATTTCACTTTTTTGTAATAAAACATGCATAATTCATCTCCTCCTTTTACTTTTTGTGGTGGTTTCTGCTTTAGCTGCTGATTTTCGCTTGCTACCCTTTTTAGTGCCAGCACCATACTTAGCTGCCAAATTGTCAATAAAGTTGTCCAGTTGTGACGCTCTGTCTTCTTGTTTTTGTCTTATCATCAATTCCAAACTGTTTGGCTCTGAAATTGTTATTAAAATTGTATATGAATTGTCTGATACCAAGTTGAATAAACTGGCAGAAGGCAATGATGTACATTATCCTATATATCACTGGAAGGAAGAAAGCAGAGAAATAAAGAAAGTATAATTCATCTGAATAGATTGAATGATTTTTGTACTTCTGTATATTTTTTGTAAACAAGACTTGTAATTTATAGTCCAGTCATCTTAGGGTTTCACCACAGAATCTAACAGGATAAGCTCAATACTTGTACAAACCCTTTTGATAGTATAAATGTTGTCTCAAGTCACATCTGGTCATGAGTCAGTGCCCTAGATTTTCAAGAACAAAGGTTGCAAAAACGGTTTTTGGAGAATATCTTGTTTCCTTTGCCTTCAATCGTATTTACATTTATTTAAGTTGTATAAAATTGTCTATAAATTTCGTCTGACTCCTTTTTTTATACTTAGACCCGTTTTTTAAATCCAGGTAACAAGATGGAGAGCTCAGCTATACATACCTTAGTGTAGTTATGGATAAAAATAACATTAAAAACAATAAAATGTAAATATAAAATTAATAAATAAGATAAAATATATTTAGATTCACTTAGTTACTTCATTATTTGTATGAAAAGGGAAAGTAAATTTAAATTCTATATGATTCACAAGCAATATTTATAAATATAAGGTATTAAAAAATTATTTTCAGTAGTCTTTAATGAATAAGTAAGTAGAAAAAATAACGATTATTAGACTGGGTTTCATGATTGACTCTACACTAAGGTATGTGTAGCTGAGAACTCCATCTGTGCCCTCTATTTCAAAAACAGAATATGAGATAAAAAATGAGATATTCATAAATCTGTTGATACAGAATTTATCCAGTTCCAAAGTAGCATTTATTGTCTCTAGGACATTCCAGAAGTTTGTATACAATAAACCATAACACTTATTGTACACAGCACACAAAAAAGAAAGAAGTAAATCAATTATTATAAAAATCTATTCATTCCTAATGAAATCATTTAATTTTTTTGCATTAAGAGCAATTAACAATTAAAAGATATCTGCGAACACAGCTCTAAGCAGTAATATTTAAAATTAATTTACATGTCTGTTCATTCACTTATTACAACCGCTGTGATAACTAACATTTTCTCTTTGAAAAACATAAATAAAAGTATTACCTGAGCCGACTCCTAATTCTTGTTTCATTTCTTCTGCCTCCTTAGCTTCTTTGTTTTCCTTAGCAAGCCGCCTGAGACGTTTTTTAGCAGGTTCATGTGTAAATATCTTGTAAGCAGGTATCTCACCATTCTGTATCATTTCCTAAAATTTTGATTATAAATATTATTTAATAAATTCTGGCAAAATTAAGGATTAAAAAATGTTGCATCATAATGGGTTCTATGTAAAATTGTGTTCTAGAAATAAAATCTTATTCAACATTTTGCTGTTTTCCTAAATTTATTTAAGGTTGGAACAATTTCATTTCTTCCGTTCTCGCTAGCATTCATCACTGCCTTGCTGACAGACTTCCTAGCCATATCCACTTTTAGGCAGGGAGTCCATTTATTAGACCTTTGGCCATCCTCTACCTTCATCAACTTTGATACCTAATACTTTCTTTATAACATTTTAAAAACACTTATTAAAAATAGAAATATTACATTGAGAATGTCCTTGATTCTTGGTTCTTGTTCAGATCTGGCAAATTGTACATGGTCCACAATGTAATCCATGTCACCCTTGCCTGTTATATAGGCTTGTTTAATTTCCTGTTTTTCTAAATCAGATCCTGTGGAGTTAAAAAAGGCTGATAATAACTACATATGTAAAACATATTATGTATAAAGTTTTAATAAAACAAACAGCTTGAATCAACTCATTCATATATAAATATATTGATATAAAAGAGGACTGTGACATTGTGGTGTAAACATTTCATCATTCTGATTAACATCTCATTGTCATTAGAACATTAAGGTATTTAAAGAAACAACTAAAATCTCCTAAATCTCTAAATTTAACTAAGTTCAAGGTAGATTATAATAAGTTTTTCATCTTTTTTTTTTTCGGCCTGTTTGTCTAGTGGTTTGTGACCCTGACTGCTAAGCCAGAGGTCATGGGTTAAATTCCTACCAAGGAAAAATAATTGTGTGATGAGTACAATGATTTTTTCTGTGTCTGGGTGTATTTTATCTAAAATATGTACATGTGTTTATCAGCTGTCTGGTTACCATAGTACATGCTCTGCCTAGTTTGGAATCATACAGATGAGTGTGAGATGTGTTAAGTTATTAATATTAAATGACCAGGGTTAAACACAATCATGTCATAGGTGTTATGGAACAATTTTAAACCAACTGCTTTTACATAATAATTATTAAATTAAATAAAAATTATTAGTACTTGGTACTTTAAATAAGTTTTGTTACTTACCGACATATTCCTTTTCATAGGCTCTGATGTCTTCATCGGTGATCTTTTTAAATAGTAGTCGCCAATATACACTCCAGTCTCGATCGACAATAACATTGTAGTCATCATCATCAACACACTTGGTCTCATCATACAATGCTCTTTTACTGGTGTCAGTGAGAATTGCATGGATACTGCCTAACACCTTGAACTTCTCTGTGGCCTCAAGCTTTTCTTCTTCGGCGACTCTATCAGGGTGTACTTTGAGAGAGAGTTTGTGATACGCTTTCTTGACTAAAACAATAAAGGAATAAAATTTGATGATTGAAAAAGCTGAATATACCATCACGTTCAATCAATCAGTGTTAATCATTTAGGCATAATGTTATATTTTAGAAATAAATTTTATTACCTTCTTTGTCAGTAGCTTTTTCTGAAATTTGTAAGACTTCATAGAGATTTGTGGTTTCAAAATACTTCTCACACAATTCTAAGAGTCCCATTTTGTTTATAATAAAAGATCAAAAAATAACTAAAGCCAGTTGCAGAATTAACTTCAACAATACAACAACGCAGTTAGTTTAATTTAGCCGACAAACTGACAACTACCAATAAAAACTAGCGCGCGAAAACTTCATATGTCAGTTGTCAAGTGTTCTTGACAGACATTACAGGCCGTTTACACGCATGGCGAGCCTCGACAAGTGTCCACAAACACAAGCGTGTAAACGGGGTGGCTGGCTCGGCTTGCGTATTCTTGTCGTCGATCGATACTAGTGTTGGTTTTTGAACACAGATCAAAGGAATCTCACGGAAAGCGTTTGCGACGTATTTACCCGTTGGCGCGTACTTGTTCCCTACTGCTCAATTTAATATTACAAACATTGTAGTTAAGCAGTCGGATTGAGCAGTTTAGTTGAGCAGTAGGGCTAATGAATATATTTTTTTAGTTTAGTGCCGCCGCTTATACTTTGAATGAAAATGTAAATGGCATCCAAGCGTTTGGAAAGACTTGGAGCTTATGGACATTTACCAAGCCTCGGCACGCATGTAAACTATGCATTACACAGTAGGACAATACCAAGAAGGCTTTTCAAAAACCAAAATTGTTTTTTTTTAATAATAACAATATTATTATTAGGTATTTAATGTTCATTCGTCTTAAAAATATGCTATCCCTGATATATTTCTTTTGGTAAGAAACAGAGAGTTGGAAGACGGAGTAGGGGGCAATAAACAATTTAATAAAAAAATCAGTCGTTTGCAATAGAATAGAATAATATTATCATTAACATGATGACCCATGATGATTCAAAGAAGATCAGTAGCAGCACCATCGCCAACATCGTGTACACTCCCACAGCAATGAGCAGTAATCAAGCCAGCCAGCCAGCCAGCAACCTCGGTCTTAACAGGGATTTCACACGCAGGTAGCGACCGCTCCAGCCTGGTTACCCTTATGGCCTCATCAGCGTACGCAGCAACTGCCCCGACTCACTGGGGACTTCACTGCGCACAGCACGCCATTCCGACTCACTGGCATCAGCGGACTTCAGCTCCGACTCATTGGGGCTAACGGCACTCAGTTCCGACTCATTGGAACTAGCCGCATTCAGTTCTGACTCACTGGAACTACTCACTACATGCACCCCCATGCTCCAAAACGGGGCATAGACAACTGGCTCATCAAGATATCGACTCCGGTCTTGGAGGGGTGTAATGTGGTGACTCCCACATACGAAGAAACAGAAACATATTACAGCTCCATCTAACGAAGACACATCGAAACACGGAGTAACACAGTAGTTACGCCGTAGTTCGGTGTGTCTTCGTTAGATGGAGCTGTAGTATGTTTCTTACAGAATAAGCCATTCTCATTCAGGAATGATAATGGCTAATCCTGTATCGCGTAATCTGTAACCCACATCAACCGCGAGCCGCGGCCCGCCAGGCATGATCCCCTAGCCTGGTCGGAGGATTCTCCCTTCGTGTTGGAGGGACCCGTTTCACCACAAAATTAAAAAAAAATGAGTCAATATAAGCTCATAACCCTTTTTTTTTTTTTTTTAAGTGTGGAAATCCCCTCGGACCGTCACCCCGCCGGGGCTCTCGTTCGGCGGGGCGGTGTGTCGGACTCGAACCGACTAAAACCACACGGTGTGCCCTCTTTGCGCTTCCAGTTTAGGAGGGGTCCAGGTAGTTATCGCCTTCTGGACCCCTCCCATCGCCGGCCCGCTCCTGATGCGGGCTCCGTCTCAAAGTTTCCTCTCTTTAGGCGGCGTCCGGCACACGCGGACGCCGCCCCCTCGCGGCTGGCCAACTAATGCGGGTGGCGGGGAGAACCCATCCCGTCCACCCGCGGCCACACTCAGGGCGGCATGAGGCGCAGGTAAGCGCGCCTCCGCCGCCCGGTTCGCCGGCGGCGGATCAGGTCCGAGTGGAGGTCGTCCTCCCGGGCCTTCTCCGCCGCCTCCTTCTGCGAGATTACCTCCTCGCAGAAGGTTGCGACCGCGGTAAAACAACTGTCGCTACCGGCCATGGAGCGAATTACGGCCGGTAGCGAGAGATCTGCTCCGATGACTGCAGTGAGGGCCCGGCGCTGCGTCGCCCATGCGGGGCAAACCGCCAGCGTGTGCTGGGCCGAATCCTCACTGCAGTCGCAGTGGTGGCAGGCGGGACTCGATTCCCTCCTAGCGACCGAGTACAGGTACTTTCCGAAGCAACCGTGCCCGGAAAGCACCTGCGTCAGCCGGAAGGAAAGGGTCCCGTGCTGCCGCCCCGCCCACTCGGCGATGACCGGCTGGAGAGCCTCCACGGCGGCGAAGCCAGCGCGTGGAGTCTCCAGCCGGAACGACCATCTCACCATGGTGGCTCGGCGAGCGGCTTCGCGCCACTCGCGCACGTCTTCGGGCGGAGGGCGAAATCCGCTCTCCGCCCGGAAGTCAGCCACTCGCCGATAAACTTCGGCGAGCACTTCCGCCTCCAAATCCCACGGGGGTGTTCCGGCCAAGGCACAGGCCGCCTCGGTGGACACCGTGCGGTATCCGCGTATGGCTCTGACCGCCAATATCCTCTGGGGGCGCCAGAGGCGCGCCCTATTCGGGGCGGTCAGAGCCACCACCCACACCGGTGCACCATAAAGCGCCATGGACCGGACAACCCCCGCGTACAGCCGCCTCGTGGGAACACTGGCCCCGCCCAAATTGGGCAAAAGTCGCCCTAGGGCGGAGGCAGTGTCCACCAGCTTCGGACCAAGCTGTCGGAAGTGCTCGTCGAAGAGCCACCTACCGTCTAGGACCAGACCCAGGTACCTCATCTGGGCCCGGAAGCTCATAACCCTATACCGACCCATCTGGTCAGCATGGTATAATAGGCCAAAACCTCCTTTCTAAGGAGAGGCCTGTGTGGAGTTGACTATTAAAGGCTGTTGATGATCATGATTGATGACGATTGATGACGATATTGTCATATCACTATTTTCTTTTACAAAATGATGACAGAGAAATTTCTTCCAAATTTTTTAGATTACAGATTTCGCTACCTATCACTCCGTAAGAAAGAAACTAATCGTATCGCTCATATAAAATATTCCGGGTAAGTAGTTATAAGTTAGTATAAGAGGGCGTCCATTAATTATGTGAGACGTTCAGGGTCGGTGACGAGGTGGACCGGCTTCATGAGGAGTACCGAGAAGCTCGGAAAACTCTGAGGCTGGCCATCTGCCGCGCCAAGGATGTGAGTAGAGAGGAGATGCTGGAGAGACTCGAGCGTGACCCCTGGGGTCGCCCTTATCGTGCGGTGCGTCAAAAATCGCCCCCCCCCCCTTACGGAGACTCTCTAGCCCAGCTTCCTGCAGGAAGTGGTCGAGGGCCTATTCCCGCAGCGGGCGGAGCACACACCCGTCGATGGCTGAATCAGCCGGAGACGACGGGGGCAGCGAGGCTGATTTTCCGCCCGTCAGGGAATCGAAGTTGGGGGCGGCTGTTCTACGGATTCGATCCAAGAACACTGTCCCCGGGCCGGACGGGGTTCCAGCCCGAGTGATGGCCCGAGCCCTCGATTACATGTCGGACCACCTCGGGGGGGTGTTGGACGCTAGCCTGGCGTCCGGACGCTTCCCTGAGCGCTGGAAGTGCGGGAAGCTGCTCCTGCTGAACAAGCCGGGACGGCCTGCCGTTTCGGTCGCGGCCTATAGGCCTATCGTGTTGCTGGACGAGGCGGGTAAACTTTTTGAGAGGGTACTCTCTGCGCGCATCGTCCGGCACCTCTGCGAGGTTGGCCCCGATCTGTCGGACGCCCAATTCGGTTTCCGGGAGGGGCGATCGACGATCGATGCCGTAATGCGCCTTAGGGCCGTGAGCTGCGGCGGAGTGGTGTTGGCGGTGTCTTTGGACATCGCCAACGCCTTCAATAGTCTGCCATTCAGCTGCATCACCGCTACCACGGAGTGCCAGAGTACCTGAGGCGGCTAGTGGCAGACTATCTTGAGGAGCGAACCGTCATGTACGAGGACCGAGATGGCGTCTTGAGACGCAGGGCCATGTCGTGCGGTGTTCCGCAGGGGTCTGTCCTAGGACCTCTCCTATGGAACATCGGGTACGACTGCTGGGTGTAATCTGCTACGCGGATGACACCTTACTCACGGCCCGGGGGGCTAACTTCCAGGAGGCGGCGTGCCTGGCCGCCACGGGAGTTTCCCAGGTGGTCGGGCGCATTGAGGCGTTGGGATTACGGGTGGCCCTGGATAAGACGGAGGCCCTATTATTTCATGGGCCCCGTCGTGGTCCACCCGCCGGCGCCTCAATCGAGGTCGGCTCAGTCCTCGTACCGGTCCGGGCCCAGATGAGGTATCTGGGTCGAGTCCCGCCTGCCACCACTGCGACTGCAGTGAGGACTCGGCCCAGCACACGCTGGCGGTCTGCCTCGCATGGGCAACGCAGCCCCGGGCCCTCACTGCAGTCATCGGAGCGGATCTCTCGCTACCGGCCGTAGTTCGCTCCATGGCCGGTAGCGACAGTGTTTTTACCGCGGTCGCAACCTTCTGCGAGGAGGTAATCTCGCAGAAGGAGGCGGCAGAGAAGGCCCGGGAGGACGACCTCCACTCGGACCCGATCCGCCGCCGTCGAACCGGGCGGCGGAGGCGCGCTTACCTGCGCCTCATGCCGCCCTTAGTGTGGCCGCGGGTGGACGGGATGGGTTCTCACCTCCACCCGCATTAGTTTGGCCAGCCGCGAGGGGGCGGCGTCCGCGTGTGCGGGACGTCGCCTAAAGAGAGGGAAAAATTTTTTGAGACGGAGCCCGCAACAGCTGCGGGCCGACGCTGGGAGGGGTCCAGAAGGCGATAACTACCTGGACCCCTCCTAAACTGGTAGCGCAAAGAGGGCACACCCTGAGGTTTTAGTCAGTTCGAGTCCGACACACCGCCCCGCCAAACGGAGGACCCCGGCGGGGTGACGGTCCGAGGGGATTTCCACACGTAAAAAAAAGGGGGTTGAATCAAATCTCACAACATCTCATCGGGGTTGGAGGGACGGTCAGAAAATCAACGAAAACCCCTCACGTAATTATTGGACGCCAACTAAGTGGTGCACGAATGCGGTAAACACTTACTTACCTATAATTAAAACGCATGTAGAACGTTTTTGTTTTTTAAATAAATACACTACTTATTGATGAACACTAAATAACTACATATAAGGAAAAGAATAAGAGTCGACATCCAATCGAATCCAATTCAGTTTCTCTGGTATCATTAAAACTTCATATTAGCTCTATAGAAACGTCATTATAAGTTGTATCACAAAATGCACGGCGACGACTCGGTCGGGCTCACGAGCTAACGATACTGTATTGCCTCTATGACTAGGCTGATGACCTTTTCATTTTTTTTCATGGAAGAGGAGGCAAACGAGCGGACGGGTCACCTAAAGGAAAATGACTGAATGAATTAATTATTTGATAGGGTTCTCTTTGCCCGCATCGTCCGGCACGTGGGCCCCTATCTGTCAGACGTCCAATTCGACGATCGGCGCTGTGTTACGTATCAGGATCGTGAACTAAGAGGAAACGAGTCGCAGTGGCGTGCTATGGGACATCGCTAACATATTCAATAGCCGCATTCAGCTAGATCAGGGAGGCACTCCACAATGATGGGGTGCCAAAGTACCTAAGGTGGCTAGTGGTAGACTATTTAGGGAAACGTACCGTCATGTATGAGAATCAAGATGGATATCTGAGGCGCCGGCTCTTGACTTGCAGTATTCCATAAAGGTCTTTTCTTGGAACCTTCCTGATGAACATAGGGTACGACTGGTGTCTTTGGGACCTCCCGGGCTGAGCGTCTTTTGTTACGCCGATGATAGCCCGGGTAAGGGTACGGGTTACAGCCCGAGAGGCTAGATTTCAAGAGGCAGCCTGGCCACCAGGGATATCTCTCTGGTGGTCAAGCGCATTTTTTTTAGACAACTCTCGTACTAAGAATATATCCAGTGTCGCAGGGGATTTTACAGATATGTATGAAACGGACACAGAACAACGATTTGTGGAGTAAGAGGGAGTGTTGTCGCATGTAGGGATCGAATCTATAACACTCAGCGCAGTCGGAAGCGGCGAGGTGATCGACGCCCTCTATTTCATGGGCCCCGTCGTGATCCACACCCTGGCGCCTAACTCGTGATCAACTCGGCCCTCGTACCGGTTTAGACCCAGATTAACGGTAGGTGGCTCTTCAACGAGCACTTCTGACAGCTTGCTCTAAAACTGATCCCCACCGAAGTGGTACGCGAGTGGCGTTAGGCCGCTCCCTGAGGCACAATGATTCGTTGCTTATTCCGGCTGGAGGCTCCACGTGCTGGCTTTTTCGCCGTGGACCCTTTCCTTCCGACTGACGCGATGACGCCGGTCCTTCCGGGTACATCTACTTCGGAAAGTACCTGCAATCGGTTACTAGGAGTGAATTGAGTACCACCTTGCAGTCATCAGAGAGGATTTCTCGCTGCTAACAATCCACCAACCAACCATGGCCGGTAGCAACAGATGATTCACCGCAGTCGCATCGTTCTGCTAAAATGTCATGGCGCGGAAGGAGGCGGCGGCGGCTGAGAGGGCCCGAGAGGAAGATTTTCACTTGGGTGAAAATCTCGGGTCAAAAGTCTCGACGACGATCAGCGTACTTCGATCCCGACTCACTGGAACTAGCGGCACTCAGTTCCGACTCACTAGAACTGTTCACTACTGGCACCGGCACGCTCCACAGCCAGTGGCGGATTTATCAGCAGGCTGAGTAGGCTGAAGCCTAGGGCAGCAAATTTTAAGGGACGACAAAATTAAGGGACGCCAAAAAGTAATCAAATCAAGAATAGCTTATGCTATTTAACTCATTGTTATTTGTTGTTGTTTTTTTTTTAAATAATAAAGTATGATATTATCGTAGAGGTTCTAATCATATACAAGCAAACTGTCAAAGCTCATTTGTTTCTATAAAAACATTTCTTTTGACATTGTCTTTAAACCACTTATAATTTTTCTAGTGGAAGATACGCTACTTTATTAATTTTCGTGTTTCTTACAATAATCATTTATATAGCAATTTTACAATTTCTTGATCCTGTACTTCACTAAGTCATTTACGATATGGATGCCACAAATCTTGGGTCAGGTGATAATAGTATAGATCAGGACGTCTCAGTAAAATATATGGAGCATGAGAAATCAGATGAAAATGAATTAACATCGATGAAATGTGAAAATCCACAAGAAGATGACACAAATACCAATATAGTACTAAATGAAGTTACGCCACAGGTGATTGACGACAATGAAGCCAAATTAAAAGACAGAATCGCTCAGTGTAGAAATATAATTGAATCTCTCAAAATCGAATTAAATGAAGAGAAATCCAAATTGGAAAAACAAAATAGAAGTACTCAGCAACGGTTTATTGAAGCTCCTGTGAAATCTTCTACAAGTCATTATGTTCCTACTTCTAATTCGTTCCTAGAAGAAATGTCATTTACTACTGGTATGTACAGCGATAGTGTTGACAGTAAACTTAACTGTGATGAAAATTTAATAGAATATGAAAAACAACTTCAGAAGTATCAGAATACTCTGAACATGGCCCAAATCGAGAAGAAAAATGCAATTAGAAAACAAATGTTAGCTAAAGCTTATAAACTGAAACTGCTTGAAGTTGAAAATCAATGCAATATTGAGTTGCTTAGGGTTAAACAAAGCTTACAATGCTTAGAACCCTTACAAATGATAGCAAGTAAATGGAAATCGGGGACTGATAATGCAAATGACGTCAACAGTTACGAGTTAATTCCAAGATACCCAGAGCTTAGTGCCACTTCAGGATGTGATATCAATAGTTGTTTAACTGCTTTAGATATCAAAACACCCTTCGAAACTGAAGCAGTCGCTAAGGATGACAGTGTGTCTCCAGATTAAATTGATTTAATATCTCCAGATTTATAAAACATTTATTATGTCTTATTACTTAAGGTAGTGGAATACTTAAAGATTGTTGGTATTTTTTTTAATTTGAACTACCTAGAACTATGAACTGTCTAGAAATTTATTTACAAATAGATTTTTTAAGCTTTTCGTCATTGTTAATTAAATCTTATTTAGTTAACGAGGCTCCATTATTTTTTATTCGAAGAAGGAAGGACAGTCTATCTACAGAACTTCGGTATCGCCCAGGACTTGAGTTGTGGAAGTCAGTCGCTTCCACGTAAAAAACTGAAATTGAGCCGTGTCGTAGTAGTCACATCTACCTATAAAGGTATGTCTAATACTTTGGCACGTTCTACAGCCTCAACAGTTTACCCACTAGATTTCCATTGTGAGTTTAAATAAGATTCGTCCTAGCTCTGGGAAGTTAACTTTAATTATTTCACTTTATTATTAGTCTTTTTATGCTCGTGGTACTTCACAAACTCCTTCTACGAGCAAGTTAGGCGAGGAAAAGGCCAAGTGGGACTGCCAGGCTCGTGAATGGGCCAACACCGCAGGCGGCTCAACCGCCGGATGCCACTGAACGACCACGGTCTTCCATAAGCGTAGGTATGGGGGTGACAGGTAAGGCAATCTGTCAAAATATGTTTGAAGTACACTAATAATACTAATAATCTGGTGGTAGGAGTTATAGGAATACATAGTTATTAATATACTTAGACGTAGGATTAAGTCTTTTTGCTGAATTATCTTTTAATTAAAATACGGCACCATTTTGTAAACAATAATTAGGTTACAACAATTAAGATACCGCAAAACCAGAAAAAAACATAAAACCAACTTTTGTAAATACATATATGTGTAGTATTCATTCGGAGAAAAGTGCAACTATAAGAAATAAAAAAAATGATGTTGAAATAAATTACAAGCATTAAAACTAACATAAGACAAAAAATCCGCACTTAACCAATCAAATCAATTACCAAAAACGGGTGTGAAAATCCGGTTTCAATAAATCAAAAGCCGAGGAGGACCTCCGTAGAGGACCACACACATCGAGGCACGCGCTTCGAATGCTGCTGACTTTTTATTCTCGCCGCTGAGGTTCGATCGTGTTCATTCGGCGCTCGTCGGCACCCAATCGGCAGGCTCCCGTACTCGCATCACACGTTTGCGTGCGCCCGCGCCTCATCAGTTAGGAACTTGAACTTTATTTTAATAAGATTCCAATTTGTCAATTAGAGGGTATCGTATGAACAAAACAGGTTTAACTCCTTTACACCTTGTATCTTCACGAGTTTTATTTTAAATACTTAATATATTATTGGATAAAATTGAAGATCTATTTATAGAGAAAAAAACTCTTGTGTAGGGTATTAGATCTATCTTTTCAGTGTATATATAAAAATATTTCATTCACTTTTTATTGCAATTACGTGTTGTTTATCTAAATATTTTAATATAAGTACCTACACGTGTAAAACATCGGTGATTCTATAGAACTATCATTCCGATAGCTATAAATAAAAGCATGCAATTTCAATTATTAGACGGCGATGTGAACATTGAGATACAACAGTTGATTAATCCATTGAGAGCCCATCAAATAAATAGGTCAGTCGAAATAGATTACACTCATTCGATTGAACCTTTTTATTTTGACCTGTCACTGTATTATTATGCCTATAAAAATAAATAAATGGTTATTAGCTTTTCCGTTAGTGATATGTAACACTGTCAACCTATCATACAAAATCTTAATTCAGCTTTAGCCCAATGAGCCACATGGTAGACATACCCATAATTAAAGGAAAAAAACAGTGTATTTTAGAAAATAATGAAAGATTTATAATGTTCTCCGACAGCTCCCAATCTACACATATATGTATACTTACATAAAACTATGCAAAGTATTTTGGCCGAGCAAGTTTTGTGTTCTGCATCTCTGCATCCTTTAAACTTTCGTTTTTTTTTAGTCTGGAATTTAAACGAATTCCTTGTTTGGAAAGATACGGTAAATAATTGTATCCATCGCTAATTGGCAATTATCTAGATAAAGCTTTCAGTGCAAAATGCGACCATTAGTCAACACGTATCCTTTTTAATATGCAGTCATTGCAACGTACCAGGAAACCTTGTTTGCTGTGAAGAGATATCTCACTTTATTCACGGCGTCGGGCGACACGGCAACCGACTTGTGTGTACTGGCTCGAGAGTTTTATGGAAGAGTAAACAATTTAAAACACTACAAACCGGGCGTATTGGTCCAGCACTCTCCTCCATTAGCCTTAACCGACACCTCGACTTGCCGGTCCTTTGACGAAAATGATGTTTGTTCACAAGAGCAGTGACGGAGGTGCGGGCGCGACACTCGCGTACCACTTCGAATAGTTTGTTTTAGCTGCTTTAGAGGCTGGTAATCGGCTTGTCGAACATTGTTTATTTTACGTCTTTCATTAAAAATTTAATTGTTATTCATAATGTTCTAGAAACAAAATATTTAGTTCATTTATGATATAACTTCTCTAAGGTTTCTTGTATGTATAGTTTATATGCTCGATATTGAGGCGGGCTGTTGTCAAAAACTCGATTAGCTAATTGCGAGATCAGTTAAGTCACCAGCTTTGTTAGATTTAAAATTATCAATGGAAATTTTATTTATAGTGGTGTTTTATGCTACGCTGCTGCTGCTATTATGTATAACTTCACTTTGTTCGTTTCGAAGATTTTCACTGACATAACTCCAGCGGTAGGTACAGTACTGTAGGTATACCTACTATAGTTGGTAAAATCGCCTGGATTTTGTTTGAATCTATTCATGTCATAAGTGACCGTTACATTTATGTATTAGTTTAAGCTGCTTATCGCTTGGTAGTCTGGCAGCGTGCAACTTACAATTTGACCTAATAAGTAATAGTTTTCTCCTCTCATTTATCCCATCATGTTCAACTCAGTGTACGTTTCCATGAAACTTTGGTACCTATAATTAGAAGCGATGATCACGTATATATATAACAAAAATTGTTTAGAGGGAATTAAAGACACTTTGTTCTTTCATGCAAACGGAAACGAAAAAATCGTTTTTTTTTTTGTATTGTCACGGCTCTTAAGGTACCGCTATCAGTATAAGCAGGCGTTATTGAGGGATTTTATTGTGGTCTTTCCTTTGAAGGTTTTAGTTACGTGATCTATTGATTATTTAAATTATATTGGATATCGTATTAGTGTATCACCATTAATGGCATTCGCACCATACTATTAACATTAATTAATTAATATTACATTCAGTTCAAAATAAAAAGCGTCAAAAGATACATAAAATGTTTGTAGTAATTAACAAATAAATTGTTAAGTACTGCAAGTTACATTTTTTTCTTCAAACAAGGTATGTTAATATGTACCTAATATTATGAATGCTGGAATTTCATCTAATCTAATTTACAAATTGGTTGTCCAATGGATTTTTTTGTATCAGACCATCCACTAGCTGAAATAATTTTTGGGGAGTTTAATAGTCTTACAGTTTTTTAAAACATTATAATAAGCGTTAAAAAATTATTCTAAAAAACCGAACCCCCAACCGAAAAAGGTGACTTGTGCACTTCTTTCAGTGCGCGAGCGCTTCAGTGGCGCCAAACTTGTATGTATTTTATCTATTTCGAGAATTATTTCTAGATATTTTTTGTACGCTCTAACTTGATATACGCCGCTAATCACATTCCCTACTGCAAAATATAAGTAAGTAATAGAAAACATGTTTAATTTTATATAATAACTAGTCCACGAGTTTCGGATTTTTCTTTTATTATTGCTATAAGTTTTTGCTGCTAGCAAATTTCACAATTTACCTGCGAAATATTAAAGTATATTTCTTACAGACATTGTTTTGATTATTATGTGCTTATTGGTCACATCATCATGAAAGCAATGTCTGAATCTTTAGTAGTTTAAATGTCCTATATACAATACAACACCTGAACAATACAATACTAATCTGTCTCCTAAGTTTTCAACAAATGAAAGAGTTTGATTTTTTCATGGCGCTCAAAAACTTCCATCCCCCATTACCTACTTGTATAATTGGTACTCAACTACTGTGGGTTTGAAAAATCTCTTTCATTCGCACAACCAATCTGTTAAATAAAATGTTGCCTGTGGTACTTCGTGAGCCATATGACTTTCACATCTTAGAGAAAGGAGCGTAATTCCACCTCAAATACCGCTAACTCATTTGTGCCGCATGAGATTAGTGTAGGTGTACATGGGTGGAGATAGTCACTTACCTTCAAGGGACCTGTCTGCTCGATTGCCCCGATATTGAAAATAACAATCTCATAGGGAGTTTCACAACTCACAAGGACATGACAACTTTTTCGAGGTTTGATCCTAAAATTGGATTGGATTGACTCCATTTTTTTTCCGTTATTTGTATTGAATTTTTTACAAGTCGGTATTTCCTACACTTTCTTTTATTAGTTATAGGATTATAAGTTACTTATTTGTCGTTCGTGCGCCTTAAATTTTTAATCTTTTTTAATAATAATAATATGATTATAATGTCAGAATATGGGTAAACAGAGTTGTTAGTAGGCACATTTTAGATGCCACATTCTACTTATCTGGTGAATAAAAAGTTAGTAGAGTGAATTTATGTTTTTTTTAGTTTTTACAACATTGTCATGCATTATTTATTCTTCTTATCGTCAAAAAATTTTTCGATACTGTAGAAACATTTATCTAAGAGCAAAGTAAATAATTTTCTTTTAAAATCATTAATAGTATCTTCCTTAAATCTATTTTCTAAGTTGTTATATAACTATATAACTTGTTATTGTTTTTATTCGAATACTTAAATGTCTCTGCCTGAATTTAGTTAAAAATAAAAGCAGCTTTAATTTACAGTTCAATATAACTTACTTCTGTGCATTTATATCCACATGTTCAGGAATAATTAGAAATTTTATTATTAAACTCCCTAAATACAATGTTGT